TTCCAGAGGAATCCTCTTGGGGATGGCTCCAGGCATTCCCAGAGAAAGCAAATCTTCCTTTATTTCCCTTCTTCCTTTTTGGATGAATTAATTCCTTTATTTCCACTCTTTCAGGAAAAGGGTGGATCAGTGCTGGGGTCTCCATGGAATGGGAGTGCCTGGATTTCCTGGAATCGCAGCACAAGGCACTGAACCTGTCTGGGATCCCTCAGGGATGTGCAGGGAGGGGAGGAATCAGGGGCTGGAGGGTGAATTCCCCCCAGGAAGCTCCTGACAAAACGCGGGAGGGACAAAGGATCCCCCCACACCCATTCCCTGACGGATCCCCACCCCAGGAGATGGGGATGGAACAGGGAAAATGAAGATTTTTCCCCCAAAAACCACGAAGAGAGGGAATTTCTGGGAAGGAAAAGGAGGAGAAGCGCAGCTGGGGCCGGGGGCAGCGCTGGGAATGCGGCGCCAGCGCATCCCGGGAAAGGCTGGGAGTGAGGATTGGGCGCTTCTGCCCCTTCCTGAGGCACCGAGGCCGGGAATTCCCGGCCCTTCCCGGCAGGGGGAGAAGGGCCCTGCCCCAAGGGAGCCCCGGAGGGAACCGGGAACGGGAGCCGGGAACGGGAGCTGGGAACGGGAGCCGGGAATGGGACCCGGGGGATGGGATCCGGGAATGGGACTCAGGGAATGGGATCTGAGGGTAGGATCCGGGAATGGGATCCGGGAATGGGATCTGGGGGTGGGATCCAGGAATGGGATCTGAGGGTGGGAGCCGGGAATGGGATCCGGGAACGGGACCCGGGAAATGGGATCCGGGAATGGGATCCAGGGGTGGGAGCCAGGGATGGGATCTGGGAATGGGACCCGGGGGATGGGATCTGAGGGTGGGATCCAGGGGTGGGAGCCAAGGATGGGATCTGGGGATGAGATCTGGGAATGGGATCTGGGAGTGGGACCTGGGGGATGGGAGCCAGGGACAGGATCTGGGGATGGGATCCAAGGATCAGATCCGGGGATCAGATCTGGGGATGGGAGCCTGGGATTGGATCCAGGGACAGAATCCAGGGATCAGATCCAGGGATGGGATTCAGGGATCAGACCCAGGGATGGGATTCAGGGATCAGATCCAGGGACAGGATCCAGGGAAGTCACCTCAGGAGCCCCCCAATCCCTCAGGCCCTGGGAAAGGCTGATCCAAGGAAAAGGGAGAAGAGGCAGGAACTGAACGGGGTCGGGCTGGGGAAGGGGAGGATGCTCAGGAACACTCCCGGGAAATCCCAAATCCCAAATCCCTCCTCAGCCTTTAGGGAAAACCTGGGAGTGCTGATTCCCTGTGCCAGGCAGGAAACGCGTCCCAACAGGGACGGGGACACGGGGAGGGGACACAGGGAAGGGACACAGGGGCAGAGGGAAAGGACACAGAGACCCAGAGACACAGTGAGGGGACAGGGACACGGGGAAGGGACACAGGGACAGAGGGAAGGGACAGGGACACAGGGTGGGGACCCAGGGATGGGAACAGGGACACGGGGAAGGGACACAGGGACAGCGACACAAGGAAAGGACACAGGGAAGGGACAGGGACATGGGGAAGGGACACAAGGACAGAGGGAAGGGACAGGGACAGAGGGAAAGAACACAGGGACACAGGGAAGGGACAGGGACACAGGGTGGGAACACAGGGACATGGGAAGGGGATCCAGGGAAAGGACAGGGAGACAGGGAGGGAATCCAGGGAGACGGGGACAGGGACATGGGAAAGGGATCCAGGGAAGGGACAGAGGGAAAGGGACACAGGGACACTGGAAAAGGACACAGGGATGCAGGGATGGGACAGGGACACGGGGACAGGGACACGGGGACCCAGAGACCCAGGGAAGGGACAGGGGCATAGGGGAGGGACACAGGGACACAGTGAGGGGACAGGGACACAGGGACAGGGACACGGGGAAGGGACACAGGGACGCAGTGAGGGGACAGGGACACGGGGACAGGGACACAGGGACAGGGACACGGGGACAGGGACACGGGGAGGGACACGGGGAGGGACACGGGGAGGGGCACGGGGAGTCCTCCAGGCCCGTGCCAGCTCTCAGGAGCTTCACGCGTTATTTGATACCAACAATGGGGCCTTGGGAACAACAATGGAATTTCGGGAACAACAATGGGACTTTGGGGACAACAATGGGACAATGTTTGGGGACAGTACCGGGACTTTGGGGACAACAATGGCCCTGGGGAGGGACGAGGTGCCCCGGCCCCGGCGCTCACCGGTCCCGGCGGTGCCGCCCCCTCCCTCTCCCCCTCCCTCTGGGGCCGTTTTGGGGCCTTCTCCACACGGGAACCCCAAGGGAAGGAGGGGAGGGGGGCGTTAAAGGGCCGGGGAGTTTTGGGATCGTTCCCTGCCCTGCTCCCCTCCCTCGCCTGTCCCTAAAGCACCTGCAGAAGGAAAATGGATTTTGTCAGGGCAGGAAACCCCAAATCCCAGCGTGGGTTGGGAATTCCAGGCTGAGGATCCCAAAGGAATCCCCCCCCCCTCAGCGCTGGGATGGAAAATCCCTTTGGGTTTTCTCCTGGTGGAGCCACAGGAATATCTGGGGGGATCATCTGGGCTTAATTTGGGATTAATTTGGGGTTTATTTCCCCCTCAGGAGACGGCACCGGGTTCTGCCTCCTCTGGCTGAGCCCACCCTGCAAATCCTTGGGATCCCTGGGATTTGGGATCTGTGTTCCTGGGATGTGGGATCTGTGGGATTTAGGATCCCTGGGATCTCTGCAATGTGGGATCCATGGGATTTGGGATCTCTAGGATGTGGGATCTGTGGGATTTAGGATCTCTGAAATGTGGGATGTGTGGGATTTGGGATCTGTGCAATGTGGGATCTGTGGGGTGGGGGATCCCTGGGATTTGGGATCTCTGGGATGGGGGATCCATGGGATTTGGGATCTCTGAAATGTGGGATCTCTAGAATGTGGAATCAGTGGGATTTGGGATCCCTGGGATTTGGCATCCCTGGGATCTGGGATATGTGGGATTTTGGATCCCTGGGATGTGGGATCTCTGGGATGGGCAATCTCTGGGATTTGGGATCCCTGGGATGTGGGATCCATGGGATTTGGGGGTCTCTGGGATCCCTGATATGGGATCTCTGGGATTGGGGATCCGTGGGATTTGGGATCTCTGAGATGTGGAATCAGTGGGATTTGGGATCTCTGGGATTTAGGATCTCTGAAATGTGGGATCTCTGGGATGTGGGATCCATGGTATTTTGGATCTCTGGGATCCCTGATGTGGGATCTCTGGGGTGGGGGATCCCTGAGATTTGGGATCTCTGGGATTTGGGATCCATGGGATTTGGGATCTCTGAAATGCGGGATCTCTAGAATGTGGAATCCCTGGGATTTGGCATCCCTGGGATCTGGGATATGTGGGATTTTGGATCCCTGGGATCTGGGATCCCTGGGACGGGCGATCCCTGGGATTTGGGATCCCTGGGATTTGGGAGGGATGAGGGAGGAAGACAAAGCCAAAGAAGCCCCCAGAATCCCAAACCTTGGGTCCCTCCCAGCAGAATTCCAAGAGGGACGAGCTGGATGGAAAACCCTTCCCAGGGGACATTCCCAAAAAACCAAACCCTGGGATTTCAGTGGGGAAATGAGGAAAATCTCCTCATGAGGCCAATTAATGGCAATTATGGTCACACCCCTCTGTGACACCGAGGGGACACCAAGAAATCCCTGGCACAGCAGGAATGGCCTGGCCAGGGATGGGGATTAAATCTGGATTTTAAATCTGGATTTTGGGTCCCTTCCCACCCAAACCAGCCTGGAATTCTCTGCTCCTCCCTCCAATGAAAGGAAATTTATTTTATGAACAATTGCCCCTTCAACTTTTTAAAAGCTCATTTATTTTTTCCTTAATTTTTTTCCTAATATTTTCGTGATTTTAATTTTTCCTGATTTTTCCCTGATTTAATTTTTTCCCAATTTTCCCCATGATTTTAATTTTCCCTGATTTTTCCCTCAATTTTATTTTTCCCTGATTTCATTTTTTTCCCTGATATTTTCCTGATTTTTCCACTGACTTTATTTTTTTCTGTTTTTTTCCCAGATTTTTTTCCTGGTTTTTTTTTTCCAGTTTTTCCCCTGATTTAAACTTTTTCCCATTTTTTTTCTGATTTTATTTTTTCCTGACTTTATTTTTTCCTGATTTCCCCCCCCCTTTTTTTCTGATTTTTTTCCCTGATTTTATTTTTTCCATTTTCCCCCTGATTTCATTTTCTTTTCTGATTTTCTTCCCCTGTTTTTTCCCCAATTTTCCCCCTCTGATTTTTATTTTTTCCTGCTTTTATTACACTTTAATGCCTTTTTTTGCCTTTTTTCCCCCCTTGCTGCATTCGAGACTCTGCCATTTCTCCCTGGGTATTTCCAAGCCCCACAGGATTTTTTTTTGAATTTAATCCTGAAATTGGAGATTTGGGCCAAGGAGAAGAGGAAATTCCAGCTCTGGCAGGGTCAATTTTGGGATCATTTTTATCAGCCCTGATTTTCTAATCCCAATTCCAGCCCTGGATTTTCTCATCCCTCACCCGAAACCAGATTTGGATTTAAACTCTGCCAAAACTTGGATTTTGTCAGCTTCAAAAATATCCTTTAGCAAAGGAAGGTGTTTGGAATTCTGAAGGTCCAGTGAAAGATTCTGCTCCAAAATTCTGCCCCAAATCCAGGGAATTCTGACTCCAGCCAGGGGAGGAGCAGAAATTCAGCACCCAAATTGAGGTGGAATTCAGCCTAAATTCTCTGTACAAAGGTAAAAAACCATCAAAACCAGACCATAAAACAATTCAAATTATCCAGACTTTTAGATTAATTATGATAAAAAATGTATCCAGTTCTCCAATAATGAAACAATCCAATTTTCCTGCATTTTCCCACCTTTTGGAAGTTTTCCAGCTGGAGAATTAACAAATAAAATTAACAAATAAATTAACAAATAAAACACCCAAAGGTTCATAGAAATCCCACTTTTAATCATGGACAAATTGACTTTCAAGTAAAATCAACAGTTTTAAATAAAATATAAATTACCAGAGGACTTGGAAAGACCCTGTGCACGTTCTCCTCTGCTTTTCCAGTTCTCTTCACATTCCTGGAGTTTCTGGGAGGTCTCTCCACAATTATGGAACAGAAATTTGGGATTAAAAGCAGCGACTGGTGCCACTGGGAGGGCGAAAAAGGAGGAAATCCTTTTCCCTCTTCCAAGGAAAAAAAGGAGGGAGCAGAAGAGATGGAAGCAGTTTTTTATGGAAGCACAGCATTGGATGTGAGGGATTTTCCTTCTCCATCCCAGGAGTGATTCCAGAAGGGAAAATCACAGAAAATGCCCTAAAAGGGTTGGGTTTTTGTTGTTTTTTTCCTGCTTTTGGAACTTGTTGTTATTTGAGACTCCAAAGTGAGAGCAGGGATGGCAGTGCTGGAATGCAGCAAGGAAAATCCAAACTCATTCCAATCCCATTTTCCCATTTCCGACTGGGAAAACCCAAGCTCATTCTGGGATTTCAGCCTCTCCCAAAGGTGGGAACTCAACTCATCCTCTCCTGCACGCCCCCAAGTGCAACATTCCCAACAAAATCAATTTTATTTTTGGCATTTTTCCCTCACCGCCCCATTCCCCCGGAATTCCCAAGCCTGCCCGGAATTCCCAACTCCGCTTCTCCGAAAGGGGCAAAAAAAACCAAAAAGGGGAGGAACCCTGAGGCAAAAATGGCTTTTTTCTGTGTGTGTGTGTGGATGGAGGGCCCAGCCTGGAGCCTACCCCGGGGTTTTCTGCGGGGGGAGCCCCTCGGGCAGCCAGAGGGGAGCGGGGCCGGCGCCGGGCGGCAGCGGCCGGCGGTGGATGCGGCGCAGGCGGAGCAGGTAGAGCAGGATGGAGAGCAGCACCACCAGGAAACAGGCCAGGAACAGGAAGTGGTTGTACACAAAGGAGAAACTCCTCCAGTGGGAGTGAGTGCCACGGAAATTCTCCTGCTGGATGTCCCTGGGAAAGAGCAGAGGGACAACGGGAACGTCTTAGAGGAGAAATTCCACTGCCAGCTTGGTGGGAATCAGAGCTCATTGGGTGGAATAAGCTCTAAAAAGTACAAGTTGAGGCTCTAAAAAGCACAACCTGAGGTTCTAAAAGCCACAAATTCCCACCCCAAAATTCCCCTCCCAAAGGCTTTTCCCAGACTTTTGAGAGGATATCCCTGGAAAAGAGCAGAGGGACAACGGGCACGTCTTAGAGGAGGAATTCCACTGCCAGCTTGGTGGGAATCAGAGCTCATTGGGAGGAATAAGCTCTAAAAAGTACAAGTTGAGGCTCCAAAAAGCACAAATTGAGGCTCTAAAAAGCACGGATTCCCATTCCCAAAATTCCCCTCCCAAAGGCTTTTCCCAGATTTTTGAGAGATGCCCCTGGAAAAGAGCAGAGGGACAACGGGAACGTCTTAGAGGAGGAATTCCACTGCCAGCTTGGTGGGAATCAGAGCTCATTGGGTGGAATAAGCTCTAAAAAGCACAAGTTGAGGCTCTAAAAGCTACAAATTCCCTCCCAAAATTCCCCTCCCAAAGGCTTTTCCCAGATTTTTGAGAGGATACCCCTGGAAAAGAGCAGAGGGACACCAGCCGTGCTTTGGATCAGAGCTCGTTGGGTGGAATAAGAAAAAAAGCACAAGCTGAGGTTCTACAAAGCACAAGTTGAGGCTCTAAAAATCACAAGGTCCCATCCTCAAAATCCTCTCCCAAAGGCTTCTCCCAGATTTTTGAGAGGATGCCCCTGGAAAAGAGCAGAAATGCTCTGGAGGCAAAATTCCACTTCCAACTTGGCTCTGGGCAGGAACCAGAGCCCATTTTGAGGGACATGATCTAAAAACCACAAGTTGAGGCTCTAAAAACCACAAGTTGAGGCTCTAAAAAACACAGATTCCCATTCCCAAAATCCTCTCCCAAAGGCTTTACCCAGATTTTTGAGAGGATATCCTTGGAAAAAATCAGAGGGACAATGGGCACGCTTTGGAGGCAAAAATCTGCTTCCAACCTGATGGGAATCAGAGCTCATTGGGTGGAATAAGGTCCAAAAAGCACAAGTTGAGGCTCTAAAAGCCACAAATTCCCACCCCAAAATTCCCCTCCCAAAGGCTTTTCCCAAATTTTTGAGAGATGTCCCTGGAAAAGAGCAGAGGGACAACGGGAACGTCTTCGAGGAGAAGTTCCACTGCCAGCTTGGTGGGAATAGAGCTCATTGGGTGGAATAAGCTCTAAAAAGTACAAGGTGAGGAGCTAAAAACCACAAATTCCCTCCCAAAACTTTTCCCAGATTTTTGAGAGATGTCCCTGGAAAAGAGCAGAAGGACAACGGGAACGTCTTAGAGGCAAAGTTCCACTGCCAGCTTGGTGGGAATCAGAGCTCATTGGGTGGAATAAGCTCCAAAAAGTACAAGTTGAGGCTCTAAAAAGCACAACCTGAGTTTCTAAAAGCCACGAATTCCCATCCCCAAAATTCCCCTCCCAAAGGCTTTTCCCAGATTTTTGAGAGATGTCCCTGGAAAAGAGCAGAGGAACAACGGGAACGTCTTAGAGGAGGAATTCCACTGCCAGCTTGGTGGGAATCAGAGCTCATTGGGTGGAATAAGCTCTAAAAAGCACAGGTTGAGGCTCTAAAAAGCACAAATTGAGGCTCTAAAAAGCACGGATTCCCATTCCCAAAATTCCCCTCCCAAAGGCTTTTCCCAGATTTTTGAGAGATGTCCCTGGAAAAGAGCAGAGGGACAACGGGCACGCTTTGGAGGCAAAGATCTGCTTCCAACCTGATTGGAATCAGAGCTCATTGGGTGGAATAAGCTCTAAAAAGCACAGGTTGAGGCTCTAAAAAGCACAGGTTGAGGCTCTAAAAGCCACAAATTCCCTCCCAAAATTCCCCTCCCAAAGGCTTTTCCCAGATTTTTGAGAGATGTCCCTGGGAAAGAGCAGAGGGACAATGGGAACGTCTTAGAGGAGGAATTCCACTGCCAGCTTGGCGGGAATCAGAGCTCATTGGGTGGAATAAGCTCCAAAAAGCACAAGTTGAGGCTCTAAAAGCCACAAATTCCCTCCCAAAATTCCCCTCCCATAGGTTTTTCCCAGATTTTTGAGAGGATGTCCCTGGAAAAGAGCAGAAGGACAATGGCCATGTCTTAAAAGCAAAGTTCCGCTTCCAATTCTGTAGGAATCAGAGCCCATTTGGTGGAATAATCTCTAAAAAACACAGGTTGAGGCTCAAAAAAGCACAACCTGAGGTTCTAAAAGCCACAAATTCCCATCCCCAAAATGCTCTCCCAAAGGCTTTTCCCAAATTTTTGAGAGATGTCCCTGTAAAAGAGCAGAGGGACAATGGGAACGTCTTAGAGGCAAAATTCCACTGTGAGCTTGGTGAGAATAGAGCTCATTGGGAGGAATAAGCTCCAAAAAGCACAAGTTGAGGCTCTAAAAGCCACAAATTCCCTCCCAAAATTCCTCTCCCATAGGTTTTTCCCAGATTTTTGAGAGATGTCCCTAGAAAAGAGCAGAGGGACAACGGGAACATCTTAGAGGCAAAATTCCACTGTGAGCTTGGTGGGAATAGAGCTCATTGGGTGGAATAAGCTCTAAAAAGCACAGGTTGAGGCTCTAAAAAGCACAACCTGAGGTTCTAAAAGCCACAAATTCCCACCCCAAAATTCCCCTCCCAAAGGCTTTTCCCAGACTTTTGAGAGATGTCCTTGGAAAAGAGCAGAGGGACAACGGGAACGTCTTAGAGGCAAAATTCCACTGTGAGCTTGGTGAGAATCAGAGCTCATTGGGTGGAATAAGCTCTAAAAAGCACAAGTTGAGGCTCTAAAAGCTACAAATTTCCTCCCAAAATTCCCCTCCCAAAGGCTTTTCCCAGATTTTTGAGAGGGTGCCCTTGGAAAAGAGCAGAGGGACACCAGCCGTGCTTTGGATCAGAGCTCATTGGGTGGAATAAGAAAAAAAGCACAAGCTGAGGCTCTAAAAAGCACAAGTTGAGGCTCTAAAACTCACAAATTCCCATCCCCAAAATCCTCTCCCAAAGGCTTCTCCCAGATTTTTGAGAGGATGTCCTTGGAAAAGAGCAGAAATGCTCTGGAGAAAAAATTCCGCTTCCAACTGGGCTCAGGGCAGGAATCAGAGCCCATTTTGAGGGACATGATCTAGAAATCACAAGTTGAGGCTCTAAAAACCACAAGCTGAGGCTGTAAAAAGCATGGATTCCCATTCCCAAAATGCTCTCCCAAAGGCTTTTCCCAGATTTTTGAGAGGATGTCCCTGGAAAAGAGCAGAGGGACAATGGCCATGCTTTGGAGGCAAAATTCCACTTCCAACTTGGTGGGAATCAGCTCATTGGGTGGAATAATCTCTAAAAAGCACAAGTTGAGGCTCTAAAAAGCACAAGTTCCCATCCCTAAAATTCCCTTCCCAAAGGCTTTTCCCAAATTTTTTTGACAGGATGTCCCTGGAAAAGAGCAGAAATGCTCTGGAGAAAAAATTCCGCTTCCAACTGGGCTCAGGGCAGGAACCAGAGCCCATTTTGAGGGACATGATCTAAAAATCACAAGTTGAGGCTCTAAAAAGTACGGATTCCCATTCCCAAAATCCTCTCCCAAAGGCTTTTCCCAGATTTTTGAGAGGATGTCCCTGGAAAAGAGCAGAGGGACAATGGGCACATCTTAGAGGAGAAATTCCACTGCCAGCTTGGTGGGAATCAGAGCTCTTTTGGGTGGAATAATCTCTAAAAAGCACAAGTTTAGGCTCTAAAAGCCACAAATTCCCTCCCAAAATTCCCCTCCCAAAGGCTTTTCCCAGATTTTTGAGAGGATGTCCCTGGAAAAGAGCAGAATAACAATGGCCATGTCTTAGAGGTAAAGTTCTGCTTCCAACCAGGTGGGAATCAGAGCTCATTGGGTGGAATAAGAAAAAAACCACAAGCTGAGGTTCTACAAAGCACAAGTTGAGGCGCTAAAAACCACAAATTCCCATCCCCAAAATGTTCTCCCAAAGGCTTCTCCCAGATTTTTGAGAGGATGTCCCTGGATAAGAGCAGAAATGCTCTGGAGGCAAAATTCCACTTCCAGCTGGGCTCAGGGCAGGAATCAGAGCCCGTTTTGGGGACTAAAAAGCCCAGTCTGAGGGATCCCCACCCGTTCCCAAGGTGCTCCCGCTCTCGGGGTACCTGAGGGGCAGGAAGCGGGTCCGGTAGAGGATGGCCCCCAGCGTCCACTGCACCTCCTTGTCGTAGACCTGCAGCGCCGTCTTCAGGCTCCCGTAGCTCTCCGGGAAGGAAAAGCCCCGGTGGAAAACCTCAAACATCCAGGCAGACTTAAAGCACTGGAACCTGGGGAGAGCAGGGGGGTCAGCCAGGAAATGTGGGGTCAGGGACAGTGGGGTCAGCCAGGAAATGGGGGGTCAGCCAGGAAAAATGGGATGAGGGGCAGTGGGGTCAGCCAGGAAAAATGGGATCAGCCAGGAAAAATGGGATCAGGGACAGTGGGGTCAGCCAGGAAATGTGGGGTGAGTCAGGAAATGTGGGATCAAGGACAGTGGGGTCAGCCAGGAAAAATGGGATCAGCCCAGAAAGATGGGATCAGGGAGAGTGGGGTCAGCCAGGAAATGTGGGGTCAGCCAGGAAATGTGGGGTCAGCCAGGAAAAATGGGATCAGCCAGGAAAAATGGGATCAGCCAGGAAATGTGGGGTCAGCCAGGAAATGTAGGGTGAGTCAGGAAATGTGGGATCAAGGACAGTGGGGTCAGCCAGGAAAAATGGGATCAGCCAGGAAAAATAGGATCAGGGACAAGAGGATCAGGACAGTGGGATCAGCCAGGAAAAATGGGATCAGGGACAGTGGGGTCAGCCAGGAAAAATGGGATCAGCCAGGAAAAATGGGATCAGGGACAGTGGGGTCAGCCAGGGAAAATGGGATCAGCCCAGAAAGATGGGATCAGGGACAATGGGGTCAGCCAGGAAAAATGGGATCAGCCCAGAAAGATGGGATCAGGGACAGTGGGGTCAGCCAGGAAAAGTGGGATCAAGGACAGTGGGATCAGCCAGGAAAAATAGGATCAGGGACAAGAGGATCAGGACAGTGGGATCAGTCAAAGACAGTAGGGTCAGCCAGGAAAAATGGGATCAGGGACAATAAGATCAGGCAGGAAAAGTGGGATCAGTCAAGGATAGTGGGATCAGGCAGGAACAGTGAGATCAGGAGCAGTGGGATCAGCCAGGAAAAATGGGATCAGGACAGTGGGATCAGTCAAAGACAGTAGGGCCAGCCAGGAAAAATGGGATCAGCCCAGAAAGATGGGATCAGGGAGAGTGGGGTCAGCCAGGAAAAGTGGGGTCAGGGACAACAGGATCAGGAAGGAAAAGTGGGACCAGCCAGGAACAGTGGGATCAGTCAAGGACAGCGGGATCAGGAACAGTGGGATCAGTCAGGAACACCGGGATCAGGAACAGTGGGATCAGTCAGGAACACCGGGATCAGTGAAGGAGGAAGGGATAAGCTCAGCTCAGCATTACAGCAATTGCAGAGCAGAATCAAACATGGAATTCTCAACTTTTGCAAGTTTTTTTCCCACTTTCCATGAAATGGAAGGGCCTTGGCAGTTCTGTGTGGGATCAGTCAGGAACAGTGGGATCAGTCAGGAACAGTGGGATCAGTTAAGGACATTGGGATCAGTTAAGGACATTGGGATCAGGAACAGTGGGATCAGTCAGGAACAGTGGGATCAGTTAAGGACATTGGGATCAGTCAAGGACATTGGGATCAGTGAAGGACATTGGGATCAGTCAGGGAACAGTGGGATCAGGAACAGTGGGATCAGTTAAGGACATTGGGATCAGTCAGGAACAGTGGGATCAGGAACAGTGGGATCAGTGAAGGACATTGGGATCAGTGAAGGACATTGGGATCAGTGAAGGACATTGGGATCAGTCAAGGACATTGGGATCAGTGAAGGACATTGGGATCAGTTAAGGACATTGGGATCAGTCAAGGACAGTGGGATCAGGAACAGTGGGATCAGTCAGGAACAGTGGGATCAGTGAAGGACATTGGGATCAGTGAAGGACATTGGGATCAGTCAGGAACAGTGGGATCAGTTAAGGACATTGGGATCAGTCAGGAACAGTGGGATCAGTGAAGGACATTGGGATCAGTGAAGGACATTGGGATCAGTGAAGGACATTGGGATCAGTTAAGGACATTGGGATCAGTTAAGGACATTGGGATCAGTGAAGGACATTGGGATCAGTCAGGAACAGTGGGATCAGTGAAGGACATTGGGATCAGTTAAGGACAGTGGGATCAGTGAAGGACATTGGGATCAGTGAAGGACTTTGGGATCAGTCAGACAGAACGGGTTAAACTCAGCTCAGCATTCCAGCAACCGCGGGGCACGATTAAATCTGGAACTCTCAGCTTTTCCAAGGGAATTTTTCACAATTCTCAGACCTTTCCCAAGTTTTTTTCCCCACTCCCAGTGATCCAGCAAACGGACAGGGCCCGGCAGGAGCAACTTCCTGGCCAAAGCCCAGCCCAAAGCCGAGTCCAAAGCCCGGCCCAAAGCCGAGCCCAAAGCCCGGCCCAAAGCCGAGCCCAAAGCCGAGCTCAAAGCCAAGCCCAAAGCCCAGCCCAAGCCCAGCCCAAGGCCAGCCGAAGCCCAGCCCAAAGCCGAGCCCAAGCCCACACCAAGCCCAGCCCGAAGCCCAGCCCGAAGCCCAGCCCAAAGCCCAACCCAAAGCCCAGCTCAAGCCCAGCCCAAGCCCAGCCCAAGCCCAGCCCAAAGCCGAGCCCAAGGCCAGCCCAAAGCCCAGCCCAAGCCCGGCCCAAAGCCCGGCCCAAAGCCCAGCCCGAAGCCGAGCCCCAAGCCCATCCCAAGGCCAGCCCAAAGCTGAGCCCAAAGCTGAGCCCAAGCCCAGCCCAAGCCCAGCCCAAGCCCAGCCCAAGCCCGGCCCAAAGCCCAGCCCAAGCCCAGCCCAAGCCCAGCCCAAAGCCGAGCCCAAAGCTGAGCCCAAGGCCAGCCCAAGCCCGGCCCAAAGCCGAGCCCAAAGCCGAGCCCAAGGCCAGCCCAAGGCCAGCCCAAAGTCGAGCCCAAAGCCCAACCCAAAACCCAGCCCAAAGCCCAGCCCAAAGCCAAGCCCAAAGCCCAGCCCAAAGCCAAGCCCAAAGCCCAGCCCAAAGCCCAGCCCAAAGCCCAGCCCAAGGCCAGCCCAAGCCCAGCCCAAAGCCCAACCCAAAACCCAGCCCAAAGCCCAACCCAAAGCCCAGCCCAAAGCCCATCCCAAGCCCAGCCCAAAGCCGAGCCCAAAGCCCAGCCCAAGCCCAGCCCCGCTCACTTGAGCCGGTGCAGATCCGCGTGGGGGGCGTAGAGGCCGCGCTCGAAGCGCTCCCGCAGCACCGACCACCGCGTGGCACAATAATCCTGCAGGAAATCAGAAAAACGGGAAAAAGGGAATGATCCCAGCGCTCCTCCCGCCTGGAGAGGGAAAATCCCACCTGAAAAAATCATCTGAAACAGCAAACATCACAAAGGAACAGCAGCTTGCACCGCCGGTAAGGAAAATCCCAAATTTTGGGGGAAAATTTTGGAATTTGGGGCACATTTGGAATTTGGAATGGAATTTATGTTAAACTCTTGGAATTTGGGGTGGAATTTATGTTAAACTCTTGGAATTTGGGGTGGAATTTATGTTAAACTCTCTGGGAATAACCAGGATCCCAAATTTTATAGGAACATTATTTGGAATTTGGGGTGGAATTAATGTTAAACTCTTGGAATTTGAGGCGGAATTAATGCTCAACTCTCTGGGAATACTCAGTAAAGAAAATCCCAAATTTCATGGGAATATTTTAATCCACATTTGGAATTTGGGGTGGAATTAATGTTAAACTCTCTGGGAATATTCAGTAAGGAAAATCCCAAATTTTGGGGGAAAATTTTATCCACATTTGGAATTCAGGGTGGAATTAATGTTAAACTCTCTGGGAATATCCAGTAAGGAAAATCCCAAATTTCATGGGAATATTTTAATCCACATTTGGAATTTGAGGTGGAATTAATGTTAAACTCTCAGGGAATGTCAAACATCCCAAATTTCATGGGAATATTTTGACCCAAGTTTGGAATTTGGGGTGGAATTAATGTTAAACTCTTGGAATTTGAGGCGGAATTAATGTTCAACTCTCTGGGAATACCCAGTAAAGAAAATCCCAAATTTCATGGGAATATTTTAATCCACACTTGGAATTTGAGGTGGAATTAATGTTAAACTCTCAGGGAATGTCAAGCATCCCAAATTTCATGGGAATATTTTGACCCAAGTTTGGAATTTGGGGTGGAATTAATGTTAAACTCTCTGGGAATAACCAGGATCCCAAATTTTATAGGAACATTATGACCTGCATTAGGAATTTGGGGTGGAATTAATGTTAAACTCTTGGAATTTGAGGCGGAATTACGGAATTAATGCTCAACTCTCTGGGAATACCCAGTAAAGAAAATCCCAAATTTCATGGGAATATTTTATCCACATTTGGAATTTGGGGTGGAATTAATGTTAAACTCTCTGGGAATATTCAGTAAGGAAAATCCCAAATTTTGGGGGAAAATTTTGATGCACATTTGGAATTTGGGGTGGAATTAATGTTAAACTCTCTGGGAATATCCAGGATCCCAAATTTTATGGGAATATTATGACCTGCATTTGGATTTGGGGTAGAATTAATGTTAAACTCTCTGGGAATTCGGAATGGAATTAATGTTAAACTCTCTGGGAATATTCAGTAAAGAAAATCCCAAATTTCATGGGAATATTTTATCCACATTTGAAATTCGGGGTGGAATTAATGTTAAACTCTCTGGGAATATCCAGTAAGGAAAATCCCAAATTTCATGGGAATATTTTGATCCAAACTTGGAATTTGGGGTGGAATTAAAGTTCAGCTCTTGGAATTTGGGATGGAATTAATGTTAAACTCTTGGAATTTAGAGTGGAATTAATGTTAAATCTCAGGAAATGTCAAGGATCCCAAATTTCCTGGGAATGTTTTGATCCACATTTGAAATTTGGAATGGAATTAATGTTAAACTCTTTGGGAATATCCAGAATCCCATATTTTATGGGAATATTTTGATCTACATTTGGAATCTGGGGAATTAATGTTAAACTCTTGGAATTTAGAGTGGAATTAATGTTAAACTCTCAGGGAATATCCAGGATCCCAAATTTCATGGGAATATTTTAATCCACATTTGGAATTTGGGGTGGAATTAATGTTCAACTCTTGGAATTTGGGGTGGAATTAATGTTAAACTCTCAGGGAATGTCAAGGATCCCAAATTTCATGGGAATATTTTGATCCACACTTGGAATTTGGGGTGGAATCAATGTTCAACTCTTTGGGAATATCCAGCAAGGCAAATCCCAAATTTTGTGGGAACATTTGAGCCACATCTGAAATCTGGGGTGGAATGAATGTTCAACTTTTGAAATTTGGGATGGAATTAATGTTAAACTCTTGGAATTTGAGGTGGAATTAATGTTCAACTCTCTGGGAATATCCAGTAAGGAAAATCCCAAATTTCATGGGAATATTTTGACCCACATTTGGAATTCAGGGTGGAATTAATGTTCAACTCTCAGGGAATATCCAGGATCCCAAATTTTCTGGGAATATTTTGATTCACATTTGGAATTTTGGGTGGAATTAATGTTCAACTCTCTGGGAATATCCAGTCAGGCAAATCCCAAATTTTGTGAGAACATTTTGATCCACACAAAGAGTTTTGCTGCAGGACTTTGGGAATAAAATCCTTGTGGATGTTCTAAATTAGGAATGGATCCCTTTTCTTTCACCTGTGCAGCTTTGGTGATTTTAGGGATTTGGGATCTCTTAAAGGGATGTTTTTCTGCAAGACCTAGGGAATAAAATCCTTATGGAGAGATGCTCAAAATTAGGAATTTATCTCAATTTTTCACCTGTGCAGCTTCAGTGAATTTATGAATTTGGGATTTCTTAAAGCAAAATGCTGCTGCAGATCTTTGGGAATAAAATCCTTGAGGATGTTCTAAATTAGGAATTGATCCCTTTTTTCACCTGTGCAGCTTCAGTGAATTTATGAATTTAGGATGCCTTTCTTAAGGCAATCTCTTTTGTTTCAGGACTTTGGGAACAAAATTCTAATGGAGAGAAATTTTAAATTAGGAACTGATCCCCATTTTTTCACCTGTGCAGCTTCAGTGAATTTATGAATTTGGGATCTCTTAAAGCAATGTTTTGCTGCAGGACTTTGGGAACAAAATCCTTGTGGATGTTTTAAATTATGAATGGATCCCTTTTCTTTCACCTGTGCAGCTTCAGTGAATTTATGAATTTAGGATCTCTTAAGGCAATGTTTTGTTGCATGACCTTTGGGAATAAAATCCTTATGGAGAGATGCTCAAAATAAGGAATTCATCTCATTTTTTCACCAGTGCAGCTTTAGTGAATTTATGAATTTGGGGTCTCTTCAGGCCATGTTCTTCTGCAGGCCTTTGGGAATAAAATCCTTATGGAGAGAAATTTTAAATTAGGAATTGATGCCCATTTTTTCACCTGTGCAGCTTCAGTGAATTTAGGATCTCTTAAGGCAATGTTTTGCTGCAGGACTTGGGGAATAAAATCCTTATGGAGAGATGTTACAAATGAGGGAAGTGATCTCCTTTCTTTCACCTGTGCAGCTTCAGTGAATTTATGAATTTGGGGTCTCTTAAGGCAATGTTTTGCTGCAGGAGTTAGGGAATAAAATCCTTATGGAGAGATGCTCAAAATTAGGAATTTATCTCATTTTTTCACCTGTGCAGCTTTGGTGAATTTATGAATGTGGGATGTCTTAAGGCCATGTTCTTCTGCAGGACTTGGGGAATAAAATCCTAATGGAGAGAAATTTTAAATTAGGAATTGATGCCCATTTTTTCACCTGTGAAACTTTAGTGAATTTACGAATGTGGGATCTCTTAAAGCAATGTTTTGCTGCAGGACTTGGGGAATAAAATCCTTATGCAGAGTTGTTCTAAGTTATGAACTGATCCCCATTTTTTCACTTGTGCAGCTTCAGTGAATTTATGAATGTGGGGTCTCTTCAGGCCATGTTCTTCTGCAGGAGTTTGGGAATAAAATCCTAATGGAGAGAAATTTTAAATTGGGAATTGATGCCCATTTTTTCACCTGTGCAGCTTCAGTGAATTTAGGATCTCTTAAGGCAATATTTTGCTGCAGGATTTTGGGAATAAAATTCTTAAGGAGAGATGTTACAAAGGAAGGAATTGATCTCCTTTCTTTCACCTGTGCAGCTTCAGTGAATTTATGAATTTGGGATTTCTTAAGGCAATGTTCTTCTGCATGACTTGGGGAATAAAATCCTTATGGAGAGATGCTCAAAATTAGGAATTTATCTCAATTTTTCACCTGTGCAGCTTCAGTGAATGTATGAATTTAGGATCTCTTAAGGCAATGTTTTGCTGCAAAACTTGGGGAATAAAATCCTTATGGAGAGATGTTACAAATGAGGGAATTGATCCCTTTTCTTTCACCTGTGCAGCTTCAGTGAATTTATGAATTTAGGATCTCTTAAGGCAACGTTTTGCTGCAGGACTTTGGGAATAAAATCCTAATGGAGAGAAATTTTAAATTAGGAATTGATGCCCATTTTTTCACCTGTGCAGCTTCAGTGAGTGTGGGATCTCTTAAGGCAATGTTTTGCTGCAGGACTTGGGGAATTAAATCCTTATGGAGAGATGCTCAAAATTAGGAATTTATCTCATTTTTTCACCTGTGCAGCTTTGGTGAATTTATGAATGTGGGATGTCTTAAGGCCATGTTCTTCTGCAGGACTTTGGGAATAAAATCCTAATGGAGAGAAATTTTAAATTAGGAATTGATCCCCATTTTTTCACCTGTGCAGCTTCAGTGAATTTATGAATTTAGGATCTCTTAAGGCAATGTTTTGCTGCAGGAGTTTGGGAATAAAATCCTCATGGAGAGAAATTTTAAACTAGGAATTGATGCCCATTTTTTCACCTGTGAAACTTTAGTGCATTTACGAATGTGGGATCTCTTAAAGCAATGTTTTTCTGCATGACTTGGGGAATAAAATCCTTATGCAGAGCTGTTCTAAGTTATGAACTGATCCCCATTTTTTCACCTGTGCAGCTTCAGTGAATTTAGGATCTCTTAAGGCAATGTTTTGCTGCAGGAGTTTGGGAATAAAATCCTCATGGAGAGATGCTCAAAATTAGGAATTTATCTCAATTTTTCACCTGTGAAACTTAAGAGATCCCACATTCGTAAATTCACTAAAGGCAATGTTTTGCTGCAGGACTTGGGGAATAAAATCCTTATGCAGAGTTGTTCTAAGTTATGAATTGATCCCCATTTTTTCACTTGTGCAGCTTCAGTGAGTTTACGAATGTGGGATCTCTCCAGGCCATGTTCTTCTGCAGGATTTAGGGAATAAAATCCTAATGGAGAGAAATTTTAAATTAGAAATGGATCCCTTTTCTTTCACCTGTGCAGCTTCAGTGAATTTAGGATCTCTTAAGGCAATGTTTTGCTGCAAGACTTGGGGAATAAAATCCTTATGCAGAGTTGTTCTAAGTCACGAACTGATCCCCATTTTTTCACTTGTGCAGCTTCAGTGAATTTATGAATTTGGGGTCTCTCCAGGCCATGTTTTTCCGCAGGCCTTATGGACTCAAGCCCTGATGGGCGCTGCTGTGGCCGGGGCCGGTCCCGCCTGCCCACCTGAGCAGCCCTGGTGAATCTGGCTGCGCTGTAGTCGCCGCCCATGCGCAGCACGTCCTCGGTGCAGTAGTAGAACTCGGAGAAGCCGTAGAATTCGCTGCTCTGCAGGCGCAGGGGGGGCTGCACGACGCCGTTCAGGGAGCTCCCGGTGCCGTTGGTTCGGTTCAGCAGCGGCCGCAGCCGCTCCCGGCACAGCTGGAAGTCGCCGGTGCCGCGCAGCTGCAGGCGCAGCCCCCGGTGCCGCAGCTCGTCCTGCGCGTCCCGCGGCAGGCACGGGTCCGGGACCGGGGCCTGGGGGCTCAGCCCGGCCTGCCTGGGACGGACAGAGAGCGGCAAAGCCTGGCTCAGCAAGGCCTGCCTGGGACAGGGACAGAGACCGGCAAAGCCTGGCTTAGCAAGGCCTGGCTGGGACAAGGGACAGAGAGCGGCAAAGCCTGGCTTAGCAAGGCCTGGCTGGGACAGGGACAGAGACCGGCAAAGCATGGCTCAGCAAAGCCTGCCTGGACAGGGACAGGGACCGGCAAAGCCTGGCTTAGCAAAGCCTGCTTGGGACAGGGACAGAGATCAGCCAGGCCTGGCTCAGCAAGGCCTGGCTGGGACAGGGAGAGAGACCGGCAAAGCCTGGCTCAGCAAAGCCTGCCTGGACAGGGACAGGGAGCGGCAAAGCCTGGCTTAGCAAGGCCTGCCTGGACAGGGACAGAGACCGGCAAAGCCTGGCTCAGCAAAGCCTGGCTGGGACAGGGACAGAGACTGGCAAAGCCTGGCTCAGCAAGGCCTGGCTGGGACAGGGACAGAGACCGGCAAAGCCTGGCTCAGCAAAGCCTGGCTCAGCAAGGCCTGGCTGGGACAGGGACAGAGACCAGCAAAGCCTGGCTCAGCAAAGCCTGGCTCAGCCCAGCCTGCCTGGGACAGGGAGAGAGATCAGCTAGGCCCGGCTCAGCAAGGCCTGCCTGGGATAGGGAGAGAGATGAGCAAGGCCTGGCCTGTCTGCCCAGCAGCCTGGGGACAGACTGACAGCCTGGGGACAGACTGACAGCCATGGGGACAGACTGACAGCCTGGGGACAGACTGACAGCGGGGGGACAGACTGACAGCCTGGGGGACAGACTGACAGCCTGGGGACAGACTGACAGCAGGGGGGACAGACTGACAGCCAGGGGGGACAGACTGACAGCGGGGGGACAGACTGACAGCTGGGGGACAGACTGACAGCCTGGGGACAGACTGACAGCCAGGGGACAGACTGACAGCCTGGGGGACAGACTGACAGCAGGGGGGACAGACTGACAGCCGAGGGACAGACTGACAGCCATGGGGACAGACTGACAGCCGAGGGGACAGACTGACAGCCATGGGGACAGACTGACAGCCCGGGGACAGACTGACAGCTGGGGGACAGACTGACAGCCTGGGGGGACAGACTGACAGCCTGGGGGACAGACTGACAGCCAGGGGACAGACTGACAGCAGGGGGGACAGACTGACAGCCATGGGGACAGACTGACAGCCTGGGGGGACAGACTGACAGCCGGGGGACAGACTGACAGCAGGGGGGACAGACTGACAGCCGTGACAGCCTGGGGACAGACTGACAGCAGGGGGGACAGACTGACAGCAGGGGGGACAGACTGACAGCCTGGGGACAGACTGAGCCCAGCTGACCTTGGGCACTCCCAGGCACCCAGGGGCAGCCACAGCCGCTCTGGGAATTCCATCCCAGCCCTCACCACCCTCATACCGGGAATTCCTTCCTGAAATCCAACCCAAACTTCCACTTCTTCAGCTGACTCCAACTCCTGAATCTCAGGAATCTCTCTCCACCTCCCAGATTTTCCCTTCCCACAGAACATCCAGGATCATTCCCACCTTTCCAGGAGCCCCTTCCCCTGTCCCAGGCTGCTCCAGGCTGACCTTGGGCACTCCAAGGGATGGAGCAGCCACAGCTCCTCTGGGAATTCCATCCCAGCCCCTCTGGGAATTCCATCTCAGCCTTTCACCACTCTCATATTGGGAACTCCTTCCACAAATCCAACCTAATCTTCAGGTTGACCCCATACTCCAATTCCTGAGGGGAATCCCTTTCCATTTCCCAGATTTTCCCTTCCCACACTGGAAGTGCTGTGATCTCTCCACAACATCCAGGATCATTCCCACCTCCCACTCCCCAGGCTGCTCCAGGCTGATCTTGGGCACTCCCAGGGATGGAGCAGCCACAGCTCCTCTGGGAATTCCATCCCAGCCTTTCACCACCCTCGTATTGGGAACTCCTTCCCAAAATCCAATCTCAACTTCAGGTTGACCCCATTACTCCAATTCCTGAGGGGAATCTCTCTCAATTTCCCAGATTTTCCCTTCCCACACCAGACATGCCATGATCTCCCCACAACATCCAGGATCATTCCCACCTCCCACCCCCCCAGGCTGCTCCAAGCTGACCTTGGGCACTCCAAGGGATGGAGCAGCCACAGCTGCTCTGGGAATTCCATCCTATCCCTCAACACTCTCATATTAGGAATTCCTTTCACAAATCCAACCTAATCTTCAGTTTGACCCCATTACTCCAGTTCCTGAGAAGGAATCCCTCCCTCTCCATTTCCCAGACTGGAAGGAATCCCTCCCTCCCTTCCCACACCAGACATGCCATGATCTCTCCACACAACACCCAGGATCATTCCCACCTCTCCAGGACCACCTCCCACCCCCCCAGGCTGCTCCAAGCCGACCTTGGGCACTCCAAGTGATGGAGCAGCCACAGCTGCTCTGGGAATTCCATCCCATCCCCTTCACCACCCTCATATTGGGAACTCCTTTCATAAATCCAACCTAAATTTCCACTTCTTCAGCTGACTCCAACTCCTGAGGAGGAATCCCTCCCCGGTCCCCAGATGTTTCCCTTCCCACAGAACATCCAGGATCATTCCCACCTTTCCAGGACCACCTCCCACTCCCCAGGCTGCTCCAGGCTGACCTTGGACACTTCCACGGATGGAGCAGCCACAGCTGCTCTGGGAATTCCACCCAGCCATTGCCACTCTCATATTGGGAACTCCTTCCCAAAATCCAATCTCAACTTCAGTTTGACCCCATACTCCAATTCCTGAGGGGAATCCCTTTCCATTTCCCAGATTTTCCCTTCCCACACTGGAAGTGCTGTGATCTCTCCACAACATCCAGGATCATTCCCACCTCCCACTCCCCAGGCTGCTCCAAGCTGACCTTGGACACTTCCACGGATGGAGCAGCCACAGCTGCTCTGGGAATTCCATCCCACCCCCTTCACCACCCTCATACCGGGAATTCCTTTCACAAATCCAACCTAAATTTCCACTTCTTCATCTGACTCCAACTCCTGAGGAGGAATCCCTCTCCGGTCCCCAGATGTTTCCCTTCCCACAGCACACCCAGGATCATTCCCACCTTTCCAGGACCACCACTCCAGGCTGCTCCAAGCTGACCTTGGACACTCCAAGGGATCCAGGGGCAGCTGGGAATTCCATCCCAGCCTTTCACCACTCCCATACTGAGAATTCCTTCCATAAATCCAATCTATGCCCATTGCACACTGGAAGTTCCATGATCTCTCCACACAACATCCAGGATCATTCCCACCTCCCACCCTCCCAGGCTGCTCCAAGCTGACCTTGGGCACTCCCAGGGATGGAGCAGCCACAGCTGCTCTGGGAATTCCATCCCAGCCTTTCACCACTCCCATACTGGGAACTCCTTCCATAAATCCAACTCATATTGGGAACTCCTTCCACAAATCCAACCTAATCTTCAGTTTGACCCCATTACTCCAGTTCCTGAGCAGGAATCCCTCCCTCTCCATTTCCCAGATTTTCCCTTCCCACACCAGCCATGCCATGATCTCCCCACAACATCCAGGATCATTCCCACCTTTCCAGGACCACCTTCCCTTGTCCCAGGCTGCTCCAATCTGACCTTGGGCACTCCAAGGGATGGAGCAGCCACAGCTGCTCTGGGAATTCCATCCCAGCCCCTCTGGGAATTCCATCTCAGCCTTTCACCACTCTCATATTGGGAACTCCTTCCACAAATCCAACCTAATCTTCAGTTTGACCCCATTACTCCAATTCCTGAGGAGGAATCCCTCCCTCTCCATTTCCCAGATTTTCCCTTCCCACACCAGACATGCTGTGATCTCCCCACAACATCCAGGATCATTCCCATCTTTCCAGGACCACCCCCCCAGGCTGCTCCAAGCTGACCTTGGACACTCCAAGGGATCCAGGGGCAGCCGGGAACTCCCTCCCAGCCTTTCACCACTCCCATACTGTGGATTCCTTCCTGAAATCCAATCTATTCCCATCACACACTGGAAGTTCCATGATCTCTCCACACAACATCCAGGATCATTCCCACCTTTCCAGGACCACCTTCCACCCCTCCAGGCTGCTCCAAGCTGACCTTGGGCACTCCAAGGGATGGAGCAGCCACAGCTTCTCTGGGAATTCCACCCCAGCCTTTTACCACCCTCATACTGGGAACTCCTTCCCGAAATCCAATCTCAACTTCAGGTTGACCCCATACTCCAATTCCTGAGGGGAATCCCTCCCTCTCCACTTCTCAGATTTTCCCTTCCCACACCAGACATGCCATGATCTCTCCACAACATCCAGGATCATTCCCACCTTTTCCAGGACCACCTCCCACCCCCCCAGGCTGCTCCAAGCTGACCTTGGACACTTCCAGGGATCCAGGGGCAGCTGGGAATTCCATCCCAGCCTTTCACCACTCCCATACTGCGGATTCCTTCCTGAAATCCAATCTATTCCCATCACACACTGGAAGTTCCACGATCTCTCCACACAACACCCAGGATCATTCCCACCTTTCCAGGACCACCTCCCACGCCCCAGGCTGCTCCAAGCTGATCTTGGACACTTCCACGGATGGAGCAGCCACAGCTGCTCTGGGAATTCCATTCCATCCCTCACCACCCTCATACCAGGAATTCCTTTCATAAACCCAACCTAAATTTCCACTTCTTCATCTGACTCCAACTCCTGAGGAGGAATCCCTCCCCGGTCCCCAGATTTTTCCCTTCCCACACAACACCCAGGATCATTCCCACCTTTCCAGGACCACCTCCCACTCCTCAGGCTGCTCCAAGCTGACCTTGGGCACTCCAAGGGATGGAGCAGCCACAGCTGCTCTGGGAATTCCATTCCAGCCTTTTACCACCCTCATACTGGGAATTCCTTCCCAAAATCCAACCTAATCTTCAGGTTGACCCCATTACTCCAATTCCTGAGGAGGAATCCCTCCCTCTCCATTTCCCAGATTTTCCCTTCCCACACCAGACATGCCATGATCTCTCCACAACATCCAGGATCATTCCCACCCTTCCAGGACCACCTTCCCCTGTCCCAGGCTGCTCCAAGCTGGCCCTCCCAGGGATGGAGCAGCCACAGCTCCTCTGGGAATTCCATCCTATCCCTCACCACTCTCATATTAGGAATTCCTTCCACAAATCCAACCTAATCTTCAATTTGACCCCCATTACTCCAATTCCTGAGGGAAATCCCTCTCCACTTCCCAGATTTTCGCTTCCCACACCAGACATGCCATGATCTCCCCACAACACCCAGGATCATTCCCACCTTTCCAGGACCACCTCCCACCCCCCAGGCTGCTCCAAGCTGATCTTGGACACTTCCAGGGATCCAGGGGCAGCCGGGAACTCCATCCCAGCCTTTCACCACTCCCATACTGAGAATTCCTTCCATAAATCCAATCTATGCCCATTGCACACTGGAAGTTCCATGATCTCTCCACACAATATCCAGGATCATTGCCACCTCTCCAGGAGCCCCTTCCCCTGTCCCAGGCTGCTCCAAGCTGACCTTGGGCACTCCAAGGGATGGAGCAGCCACAGCTCCTCTGGGAATTCCATCTCAGCCTTTCACCACTCCCATACTGGGAACTCCTTCCATAAATCCAAATCATATTGGGAATTCCTTCCACAAATCCAACCTAATCTTCAGTTTAACCCCATACTCCAATTCCTGAGGAGGAATCCCTCCCTCTCCATTTCCCAGATTTTCCCTTCCCACACCAGCCATGCCGTGATCTCCCCACAACATCCAGGATCATTCCCACCTCCCACCCCCCCAGGCTGCTCCAAGCTGGCCCTCCCAGGGATGGAGCAGCCACAGCTGCTCTGGGAATTCCATCCCACCCCCTTCACCACCCTCATACCGGGAATTCCTTTCACAAATCCAACCTAAATTTCCACTTCTTCATCTGACTCCAACTCCTGAGGAGGAATCCCTCTCTGGTCCCCAGATGTTTCCCTTCCCACAGCACACCCAGGATCATTCCCACCTTTCCAGGACCACCTCCCACTCCCCAGGCTGCTCCAGACTGACCTTGGACACTTCCACGGATGGAGCAGCCACAGCTCCTCTGGGAATTCCATCCCAGCCATTGCCACTCTCATATTGGGAATTCCTTCCACAAATCCAACCTAATCTTCAGTTTGACCCCATACTCCAATTCCTGAGGAGGAATCCCTCCCTTTCCATTTCCCAGATTTTCCCTTCCCACACCAGACATGCCATGATCTCTCCACAACATCCAGGACCATTCCCACCTTTCCAGGAGCCCCTTCCCCTGTCCCAGGCTGCTCCAAGCTGACCTTGGGCACTTCCAGGGATCCAGGGGCATCCGGGAACTCCATCCCAGCCTTTCACCACTCCCATACTGCGGATTCCTTCCTGAAATCCAATCTATTCCCATCACACACTGGAAGTTCCACGATCTCTCCACAGCACACCCAGGATGATTCCCACCCTTGCAGGAGCCCGGGGATGCAGTACCTGTTCCTGAGCAGGCTGCTGGAGATCAGGCTCTCCTCGTAGCGCCGGCGCGCGGCGTTGCCGCCGAAGCCCAGGAAGGTGGCCACGTAGACGCGGTACACGTGCTCCGTCTGGTGCGCGTCGCAGCCCAGGTTCACCTCGGCCAGCAGCCCCTTGGCCACCTCCTCCTGCACAGCAAATCAGCAATCACTGCCATGCTCCTGAGCACAAAGTGAATTTTGGTTTGGGATGTCCTGGACACCTTTCATTTCACCCATCTCTTTCATGCTTTGCTGTCTGTGTGTCCTGCACTCTGGGTAAGGGATATCCCCACAGCATTGTGGAGGGGTTCTGGTTGGAAAAGATCTTGGAGATCATAAAAATCATCAATCCAACAGCACAATCAGGAATCATTGGGATGGTCCTGATCCAAAAATGAATTTTTTTGATGTCTTGGACACCTTTAATTTCACCCCTCACCGATCTCTTTCCTGCTTTCCTCTCCTGTCTGTGTGTCCTGCACTCTGGGTAAGGGATATCCCCACAGCATCGTGGAGGGGTTCTGGTTGGAAAAGTTCTTGGAGATCATCAATCCAACAGCAGAATCAGGAATCACTGGGATGGTTCTGATCCTAAAATGAATTTTTGGGATGTCTTGGACACCTTCAAGTTCACCCAACTCTTTCATGCTTTGCTGTCTGTGTGTCCTGCACTCTGGGTAAGGGATATCCCCACAGCATTGTGGAAGTGCTCTGGTTGGAAAAGATCTTGGAGATCATAAAAATCACCAATCCAACAGCACAATCAGGAATCACTGGGATGATACCAATCTGAAAATGAATTTTTTGGGATGTCCTGGACACCTTTAAGTTCACCCCTCACTGATCTCTTTCCTGCTTTCCTCTCCTGTCTGTGTGTCCTGCACTCTGGATAAAGGATATTCCCACAGCATCATGGAGGGGTTCTGGTTGGAAAAGATCTTGAAGATCTTGGAGATCATCAATCCAACAGCAGAATCAGGAATCACTGGGATGGTCCTGCTCCAAAAATGAATTTTTTGGGATGTCTTAGACATCTCCAATTTCACCCATCTCTTCCATATCATGGAAGTGTTCTTGAAGATCATCAATCCAAGAATCCTGAAGAGCCACACCCGTGGGTTTTGGATATTCCCAGGAATGAGAACTCCACACTGCCCTGGGCAGCTTCCCCAGTGCTTTCCAGCCCTTTATAATCCAGATATTTCAGGAGTTTTCCTCAGGGATGATCATCTCCCACAGTATTTGGAAAATCCAAGATTATTTCAGAGGGAGAGCAAAATTGAGGAATTTTCCTTGGGAATTATCATCTCTCCCAGATTTTTTTGTTAAAAAGACCAGGATTACTTCATAGGGAGAGCAAAAAAAAAGGATTTTTCTTGGGAATTATAATCTTTCCCATTTTATTTGTAAAATCCAAGATTATTTCATAAGGAGAGCAAAACTGAGAAGTTTTCTTTGGGAATGATCATCTCTCCCTTTTTATTTGGAAAATCCAAGATTATTTCATTTGAGAACAGAACAGAAGAGTTTTCCTTGGGTTTCCTTGGGAATGATCACTTCCCACATCATTTTGAAAAAGATCACTTCATAGGGACAGCAAAATCTTGGAATTTCAGATCCCTGGCCCTGCAAAGCCCAGGAATTGCTTCTGTGGAGCCTGGAATTTTCTTCTCCCATGGAAAAATGTGGATTGTGGCTGCTGAACTCAGTGCTCCCCTCCCATTCCTGATTCCCAGGACAGATTCCACGACCAAAATTCCCATTTTATGTCCATTTATGCTCAGATAAATCCACCCCACAGGCAGGAATGTTCATCCCTGTTTTCCCAGCTGATCTTTGACTGGATCTGCTCTGGAACTGAATGTCCAGATTTTAATAATTCCAAATCATTTCTTACACCCTCTGTTAATTAAAACAGAGGAATTAGGGAATTAATTAGGGAAACATCATTCCACAGGATTTAAAAACTCAATTTATCCATTATTAGAACAGAGCCAAACATGGGGATTTGATGCTGTTTTTTCTTTAGATAATTCTCAATTAATTTCATGGGAAGTTCAGCTTGAAAAATTCAGGAATTGCTCCAGAACTCAGTGGAATTACAGCAATTTATCAGTCTGGGACAAAGCAATTCTGTGACATTTATAACTGCTAATTCAATTTCTCCCCAAAATTAAAGGAAAAAGTCATTTTTATGGAAGGCTTTTTATAGGAACCACCAGGAATTTTTGGGATTTTAGCCCCAGGATGCAAATTTTGGGAGTGTAAGGGATTTAAAATTGTCCAGAAAGATTAAAAATTAAAGATTAATGCAGGATTTGAGTGATGGGAATGAAAAAACCAAATTCTTTTGGGAATGGGATGGGATGGAATGGGATGGGATGGGATGGGATGGGATGGGATGGGATGGGATGGGATGGGATGGGATGGGATGGGATGGGATGGGGTGGGATGGGATTGGGATGGGATGGGGATGGGATGGGATGGGATGGGATGGGATGGGATGGGATGGGATGGGATGGGATGGGATGGGATGGGATGGGATGGGGATGGGATCCATGGGATGGGATGGGATGGGATTGATGGGATGGGATGGGGTGGGATGGGGATAGGATGGGATGGGATCCATGGAATGGGATGGGATGGGATTGATGGGATGGGGATGGGGATGGGATGGGGATGGGATGGGATGGATGGGATGGATGGGATGGGATGGGGATGGGATGGGATCCATGGGATGGGATGGGATGGGATGGGATGGATGGGATGGGGATGGGATGGGGATGGGATGGGATGGGATGGATGGGATGGGATGGGATGGGATGGGATGGGATGGGATGGGGATGGGATGGGATGGGATGGGATGGGATGGGATGGGATGGGGATGGGATGGGGATGGGATGGGATGGGATGGGGATGGGATCCATGGGATGGGATGGGATGGGGATGGGATCCATGGGATGGGATGGGATGGGATGGGATGGGATGGGGATGGGATGGGATGGGATGGGGATGGGATCCATGGGATGGGATGGGATGGGGATGGGATCCATGGGATGGGATGGGGATGGGATGGGATGGGGGATTCCAAAGGATGGGAAAGAAAGGAGAAGGTGTTAAATTAGCCCAGAGGGAAGGGGGAATTCCTGGATATTGCCCTGGGGAGGGAGGCAAGGCAAGGCTTACACTCTGGGGCACCTCGTAGGCGATCTGAGTGGAGACCCCGCCCATGTCCAGGATCCCCACGGTTCGCTTGCGGAAAATGGGATCGTGGTGCTCGCTGCCAGGGACCTCCACCACGGCCTCATCCTCTGGAAAAATGGGAAAAATCCATGGAAAGAGGTTAAAACCCCTGTGCTCGCTGCCAGGGACCTCCACCACGGCCTCATCCTCTGGAAAAATGGGGAAAAAATCCATGGGAAATAGGTGAAAACCCCTGTGCTTGCTGCCCAGAACCTGCACGTCCACCATAGCCTCATCCTCTGGGAAATACAGAGGGAAAAATCCATGGGATTCAGGGAAAAATCCCTGGGCTTGGTGCCTGGGACCTGCAGCTCCACCATGGCCTCATCATCTGGGAAAAAATGGGAAAAGTCAATGGGATACAGGGAAAAATCAATGGGACATAACTGTCCAGAACCTGCACGTCCACCATGGCCTCATCCTCTGGGAAAACATGGGAAAAGTCCATGGGATACAGGGAAAAATCAATGGGAAATAGGGAAAAATCAATGGCACATAGGGAAAAATCCCTGTGCTCACTGCCCAGGACCTGCATCTCCACCATGGCTTCATCCTCTGGGAAAACATAGGAAAAGTCAATGGGATACAAGGAAAAATCAATGGGAAACACGGAAAAATCAATGGGAAAGAGGGAAAAATCAATGGGACATAGGGAAAATCCCTGTGCTCACTGCCCAGAACCTGCACCTCCACCACGGCCTCATCCTCTGGGAAAAAATGGGAAAAATCCATGGGAAACTGGGAAAATCCCTGTGCTTGCTACCTGGGACCTCCACCACAGCCTCATCCTCTGGGAAAAATGGGAAAAGTCAATGGGAAAGAGGGAAAAATCAATGGGATCCAGGGAAAAATCAATGGGAAACTGGGAAAATCCCTGTGCTCACTGCCCAGGACCTGCACCTCCACCATGGCCTCGTCCTCTGGGGAAATCGATGGGAAAGAGGGAAAAATCCATGGGAAATAGGTTAAAACCCCTGTGCTCGCTGCCAGGGACCTCCACCACGGCCTCATCCTCTGGGAAAAAATGGGAAAAGTCAATGGGAAACAGGAAAAAATCAATGGGACATAGGGAAAAATCCCTGTGCTCACTGCCCAGGACCTGCACCTCCACCACGGCCTCATCCTCTGGGGAAATCGATGGGAAAGAGGGAAAAATCCATGGGAAATAGCTTAAAATCCCTGTGCTCACTGCCAGGGACCTCCACCACGGCCTCATCCTCTGGAAAAATGGGAAAAGTCAATGGGATACAGGGAAAAATCAATGGGAAAGAGGGAAAATCCCTGTGCTCACTGCCCAGAACCTGCACGCCCACCACGGCCTCATCCTCTGGGAAAATCAATGGGAAAGAGGGAAAAAATGGGATACAGGGAAAAATCCCTGGGCTTGGTGCCTGGGACCTGCACCACAGCTTCATCCTCTGGAAAAATGGGAAAAGTCAATGGGATACAAGGAAAAATCAATGGGAAACTGGGAAAATCCCTGTGCTCACTGCCCAGGACCTGCACCTCCACCACGGCCTCATCCTCTGGGAAAAAATGGGAAAAATCCATGGGAAACTGGGAAAATCCCTGTGCTTGCTACCTGGGACCTCCACCACAGCCTCATCCTCTGGGAAAAATGGGAAAAGTCAATGGGAAAGAGGGAAAAATCAATGGGAAAGAGGGAAAAATCAATGGGGAACTGGGAAAATCCCTGTGCTCACTGCCCAGGACCTGCACCTCCACCATGGCCTCATCCTCTGGGAAAATCGATGGGAAAGAGGGAAAAATCAGTGGGATACAGGGAAAAGTCCCTGTGCTTGCTGCCTGGGACCTCCACCACAGCTTCATCCTCTGGAAAAATGGGAAAAATCCATGGGAAATAGGTTAAAACCCCTGTGCTCGCTGCCCAGAACCTGCACGTCCACCATGGCCTCATCCTCTGGGAAATACAGAGGGAAAAATCCATGGGATTCAGGGAAAAATCCCTGGGCTTGGTGCCTGGGACCTGCAGCTCCACCATGGCCTCATCATCTGGGAAAAAATGGGAAAAGTCAATGGGAAAGAGGGAAAAATCAATGGGAAAGAGGGAAAAATCAATGGGAAACTGGGAAAATCCCTGTGCTCACTGCCCAGGACCTGCACCTCCACCACGGCCTCATCCGCTGGGAAAAATGGAAAAAATGGGAAAAGTCAATGGGAAACAGGGATAAGTCAATGGGAAACAGGGAAAAATCAATGGGAAACAGGGAAAAATCAATGGAAAACTGGGAAAAATCAATGGGAAACTGGGAAAATCCCTGTGCTCACTGCCCAAAACCTGCACCTCCACCACGGCCTCATCCTCTGGGGAAAAATGGGAAAAGTCAATGGGAAACTGGGAAAAATCAATGGGATACAGGGAAAAATCAATGGGAAATAGGGAAAAATCAGTGGGAAACAGGGAAAAATCAGTGGGAAACAGGGAAAACTCCTTGGGATCCAGCCAGGGAGGGCCCCAAGGAGCTGCTGCTTGTGGCTGTTAAAGCTCCAGGAGGGAGTGGAGCAACCCAAGCCAAGCCCTGCAGCAGCTGCCAACATCTGGCTGGAACTGCATCCCCACATCTGGAAATTCCATTCCCATGGCTGGAACTGCATCCCAACATCTGGAAATTCCATTCCCATGGCTGGAACTGCATCCCCACATCTGGAAATTCAATTCCCATGGCTGGAATTGCTTCCCAACATCTGGAAATGCAACTGCCATGGCTGACATGGCATCCCAACATCTGGAAATTCAATTCCCATGGGTGGAATTGCATCCCAACATCTGGAAATGCAACTCCCATGGCTGGAATTGTATTCCAACATCTGGCTGGAACTGCCTCCCAACATCTGGAAGTGCAGCTCCCATGGGTGGAACTGCATCCCAACATCCAGAAGTGCAATTCCCATGGCTGGAACTGCTTCCCAACATCTGGAAGTGCAACTCCCATGGGTGGAATTGCCTCCCAACATCTGGAAATGCAACTCCTATGGCTAGAATTGCTTCCCAACATCTGGCTGGAATTGCATCCCAACATCTGGAAATTCAATTCCCATGGCTGGAATTGCCTCCCAACATCTGGAAGTGCAACTCCCATGCCTAGAACTGCATCCCCACACCTGGAAATTCAATTTCCATGGGTGGAACTGCATCCCAACATCTGGAAATGCAACTCCCATGGCTGACATGGCATCCCAACATCTGGAAGTGCAATTCCCATGGGTGGAACTGCATCCCAACATCTGGCTGGAATTGCCTCCCAACATCTGGAAGTGCAACTCCCATGGCTGACATGGCACCCCAACATCTGGCTGGAATTGTATTCCAACATCTGGCTGGCAAACCATCCCCTGGAGCCCCAGCCCCGCTCCGATCCTCACCATCGTCCGTGTGCTCAAATCTTCCAAGGACAAAGTTGATCCCAATCCATGCATAGACTCCTGCAGGAGGAAACAAAGCAGCTCTGGAATTCCAGGAATAGCAGGAATTGCTGGATTATGAACTTGAAAGCAGATGGAAACATTTTCATTGTTTTTTTTCAGCTCTGTTATTGTTCATTTTTATTTTATAAAATTGTAGAAGTCGAATATTCCTGGGAAATCTTTCATGGTTGAGAATCATTCCTGGGAAATCGTTAATTCCATCAGGAATTCCTGATGATTTTCTCCTCTCCCAGGTCAATGCCATGACAAAATTCCTGGCTGAATGAATTAAAGACACTTTGATGTGTAAAATTCAGGAAAGAATTGAAGGAAATGAAATTTTAAAGGGATTTTAAGGCTCTGGTGATCACACCAAAATATCCCTGCTTCCCAAATCATCTCATCCTGCAAAGTTCCTTCCATCAGGAATGTTGGGATTTATCCTTGCCCACCCTCTAGAGGAAATGGCTTCAGTGCCATTAAATTCTCAAGGATAATCGGCAAAGATTTGGCCAATCAGGATTTGGAAAACCAATAAAAATACCCCAAATAATCCCTTGGAAATCCTAAATATTTTCTAGATCCAATTCCATTAATTTTTCAGGGATAATCAGCAAAGATTTGGCCAATCAGGATTTGAAAAAGCAACAAAACCACCCCAAGTATTCCCTTGGAAATCCCAAATATTTTCCAGCAATAAAAATATCCCAAAGCATCCCTTGGGAAGCCTAAATATTTTCCAGATTCAGTTCCATTAGAAGAAATCCTAAATATTTTCCAGATTGAATTCCAGTAATTTTCAGGAAATCTTTGGCCCATCAGGAGCTCCAGAGGAACAAAGGAACATTCCAGAAGAACAAAGGAATATTAATTCCTGAGGAATAAAGGCTCTCAAGAAAAGCAGGATTTGAAAAAAAACCAATAAAAATACCCCAAATCATCCCTTGGAAATCCTAAATATTTCCCAGCTCCAATTCCATTGATTTTTCAGGGAAAATCAGCAAAGATTTGGCCAATTAGGATTTGAAAAAGCAACAAAAACACCCCAAGTATTCCCTTGGAAATGTCAAGTATTTTCCAGATTCAATTCCATTAGAGGAAATCCTAAATACTTTCCAGACTGAATTCCAGTAAATTTTCAGGGATAATCAGCAAAGATTTGGCCCATCAGGAGCTCCAGAGGAACAAAGGAATATTCCAGAAGAACAAAGGAATATTCCAGAAGAACAAAGGAATATTCTAGAAGAACAAAGGAACATTCCAGAATAACAAAGGAACATTCCAGAAGAACAAAGGAATATTCCAGAAGAACAAAGGAATATTCCAGAAGAACAAAGGAACATTCCAGAGGAACAAAGGAATATTCCTCTCTTGAGGAACAAAGGCTCTCAAACAAAGCAGGATTTGAAAAACCAAAAACCAATAAAAATACCCCAAATAATCCCTTGGAAATCCCAAATATTTTCCAGATTCAATTCCACTAGAGGAAATCCTAAATACTTTCCAGACTGAATTCCAGTAAATTTTCAGGGATAACCAGCAGAGATTTGGCCCATCAGGAGCTCCAGAGGAACAAAGGAACATTCTAGAAGAACAAAGGAACATTCCAGAGGAACAAAGGAATATTCCAGAGGAACAAAGGAATATTGCAGAGGAACAAAGGAATATTCCCCTCTTGAGGAATAAAGGCTCTCAAGAAAAGCAGGATTTGAAAAAGCAACCAAAATTCCCCAAATCATCCCTTGGAAATGTCAAGTATTTTCCAGATTCAATTCCATTAGAGGAAATCCCAAATACTTTCCAGATTGAATTCCAGTAAATTTTCAGGGATAATCAGTAAAGATTTGGCCCATCAGGAGTTCCAGAAGAACAAAGGAACATTCCAGAAGAACAAAGGAATATTCCAGAGGAACAAAGGAACATTCCAGAAGAACAAAGGAATATTCTAGAGGAACAAAGGAATATTCCTCTCTTGAGGAATAAAGGCTCTCAAACAAAGCAGGATTTGAAAAAAAAACCAATAAAAATACCCCAAATCATCCCATGGAATTCCTAAATACTTTCCAGATCCAATTTCATTACATTTTCAGGGATAATCAGCAAAGATTTGGCCAATCAGGAGGCCAGAGGAACAAAGGAATATTCCAGAAGAACAAAGGAATATTCCAGAAGAACAAAGGAATATTCCAGAAGAACAAAGGAACATTGCAGAGGAACAAAGGAATATTCCTCTCCTGAAGAATAAAGGCTCTCAAACAAAGCAGGATTTGAAAAACCAATAAAAATACCCCAAATAATGCCTTGGATTTCCTAAATATTTTCTAGATTCAATTCCATTAAATTTTCAGGGATAATCAGAAAATATTTGGCCCATCAGAAGCTGCAGATCTCACACTCCAGATCTCCTGAGGAATAAAGGCTCTCAAGCCAAGCAGGATTTGAAAAACCAATTTAAAAATAGCCCAAATCATCCCTTGGCAATCCCAGGTATTTCCCAGACATTTCCCAAGGCCCACCTACCTTCCTGCTTGCCAGAAATCACCTCAGCGTGGGAGTCAGAGAAGAGGAAATCAAAGTGCACGGGGATGTCGGTGAGCAGATCCTCCAGGATGGCTTTCTGCTGGCTGCAAAATCCCACAAAAAAGCCTTAAACCAGTCCCAAAAATCCTGGAGCTGTTCCACCTGGAAATCTCCTTTATCCAGCCACTCATGGAGCACAGAGTTAGGAGAGGAAATCATGGAGAAATTCCCAGTTTTTCCCAGTACCTGGCTTGATTTTCATCATAATGAGTTTCCTGCTGCTGTCCCATGGAAAATCCTTTTCCTGTTGCTGTCCCATGGAAAATCCTCTCCCTCCTGCCCCATTTGTGACTTAAACTCCTGCAAACCAATCCCAAAACACCCTAGAGTTCTTCCACACTCATAACAGGGAAATATCCTTTATCCAGACCCTTTGGAGTGCAGGAAGCAGAGTCAGGAGAGGAAATCATGGAGAAATTCCATGTTTCTCCCAGTACCTGGCTTGATTTTCATCACAAGGAGTTTCCTGCTTCTTTCCCATGGAAAATCCTCTCCCTCCTGCCCCATTTGTGACTTAAACTCCTGCAAACCAATCCCAAAACACCCTGGAGTTGTTCCACACTCACAACAGGGAAATATCCTTTATCCAGACCCTTTGGAGTGCAGGAAGCAGAGTCAGGAGAGGAAATCATGGAGAAATTCCATGTTTCTCCCAGTACCTGGCTTGATTTTCATCACAAGGAGTTTCCTGCTTCTTTCCCATGGAAAATCCTCTCCCTCCTGCCCCATTTGTGACTTAAACTCCTGCAAACCAATCCCAAAACACCCTGGAGTTGTTCCACACTCACAACAGGGAAATATCCTTTATCCAGACCCTTTGGAGTGCAGGAAGCAAAGTTAGGAGGGGAAATCATGGAGGAATTCCATGTTTCTCCCAGTACCTGGCTTAATTTTCGTTACCACCTTTTCCTGTTCCTGTCCCATGGACAAACCTCTCCCTCCTGCCCCATTTCAGATTTGAGCTCTACAAATATCCCTGCAAACCAACCCCAAAAAGGCCTGGAGTTGTTCCACACTCACAACATGGAAATATCCTTTATGCAGCCACTTTGGAGTGCAGGAAGCACAGTCAGGAGAGGAAATCATGGAGGAATTCCATGTTTCTCCCAGTACCTGGCTTGATTTTCATCACCACCTTTTCCTGTTGCTGTCCCATTGAAAATCCTCTCCCTCTTGCCCAATTCCAGACTTAAACTCCTGCAAACCAACCCCAAAAATCCCTGGAGTTGTTTCACACTGACAACATGGAAATATCCTTTATCCAGACCCTTTGGAGTGCAGGAAGCACAGTCAGGAGAGGAGGAGCACAGTCAGGAGAGGAAATCATGGAGGAATTCCATGTTTCTCCCAGTACCTGGCTTGATTTTCGTTACCATCTTTTCCTGTTCCTGTCCCATGGACAAACCTCTCCCTTCTGCCCCATTTCAGATTTGAGCTGTACAAATATCCCTGCAAACCAACCCCAAAGAAACCTGGAGTTGTTCCACATTCAGAACATGGAAATATCCTTTATCCAGCCATGTTGCAGTGCAGGAAGCAGAGTTAGGAGAGGAAATCATGGAGGAATTCCATGTTTTTCCCAGTACCTGGCTTGATTTTCATCACCACCTTTTCCTGCTTCTTTCCCATGGAAAATCCTCTCCCTCCTGCCCCATTTGTGACTTAAACTTCTGCAAACCAATCCCAAAGAAACCTGGAGTTGTTCCACACTCTCAACAGGGAAATATCCTTTATATCCTTTCTGCAGCCCCTCTGCAGTGCAGGAAGCAGAGCTGGGATTCAGCTGGAACTCCCAACCACCAAGCAGGACTCACCTCTCGGGCAGGATCCTCATGCCTGCAGTGCACAGGATGTACAGAGGGGTCTCCTTGTGCTTGGAGCGGGGCACGTGCTGGGCAGCGAAGCTCAGCAGGGGCGAGATGTAATCGCTGACCTTGTCCGGAGAGCCGGCAAACTCGGCAATGCCTGCGGAAACACAACGGGGAGAGGAGCAGCTGCAGCTGCAGCATTGCCTGGGCAAGGCTGAGCAGAGCTTGGGAGGTGCCCTGATGAAGGAGGAATGATGAATCTGAATCCACGTTCTCAGAAGGCTGATTCAGTATTATATTTATCATATTCTATTCGATTCTATCATACGACATGATATGACATGATATGACATGATATCATATTATACTATATTATACTATATTATACTATATTATACTATATTATACTATATTATATTATATTATATTACATTATATTATATTATATCATATCATATGACATTATATTACATTATATTACATTATATTATATCATATCATATGACATGATATGACATTATATTACATTATATCATATTATATCATATTACATTACATTATATTGCATTATATTACATTACATTATATTATATTACATTATATTACATTACATTATATTATATTATATTATATCATATATCATATGACATGATATGACATTATATTACATTATATCATATCATATTATATCATATCATATTACTTTATATCATATCATATCATATTATATTATATCCCATTATATTATATCCCATTATGTATTATATCATATCATATTATATTATTAGAATGCTATACTAAACTATACTAAAGAATAGTATACTATTCATATATGATATAGTATAGATAGTATACTATTATATAAAATATAATAAATATATTATATAAATAGTATACTATTCATACTGTGTACAGAAAAGGTACTTACAGAATGCTAAAAATATAATAAGAAATAATATATTATATTATATTATATTATATCCCATTATATTATATCATATCATATGTATCATATCATATTATATTATTAGAAGGCTATACTAAACTATACTAAAGAATATTATGCTATTCATATATGATATAGTATATATAGCATACTATTATATAAAATATAATAAATATATTATATAAATAGTATACTATTCCTACTATATACAGAAAGGATACTTACAGAATGCTAAAAATATAATAAGAAATAATATATTATATTATATTATATTATATTATATTATATTATATTATATTATATTATATTATATTATATTATATTATATTATATTATATTATATTATATTATATTATATTACATTATATTATATCCCATTATATTATATCCCATTATATTATATCATATCATATCATATATATCATATCATATTATATTATTAGAATGCTATACTAAACTATACTAAAGAATAGTATACTATTCATATATGATATAGCCTATATAGTGTACTATTATATAAAATATAATAAATATATTATATAAATAGTATACTATTCATACTGTGTACAGAAAAGATACTTACAGAATGCTAAAAATATAATAAGAAATAATATATTATATTATATTATATCCCATTATATTATATCATATCATATATATCATATCATATTATATTATTAGAAGGCTATACTAAACTATACTAAAGAATATTATACTATTCATATATTATATAGTATATATAGTACACTATTATATAAAATATAATAAATATATTATATAAATAGTATACTATTCATACTATATACAGAAAGGATACTTACAGAATGTTAAAAATATAATAAGAAATAATATATTATATATTATATTATATATATTATATTATATTATATTATATATCATATCATATCATATCATATTATTAGGCTATACTAAACTATACTAAAGAATATTATACTATTCATATATGATATAGTATATATAGTATACTATTATATAAAATATAATAAATATATATAGTATACTATTCATATATAGTATACTATTCATATATAGAGAAAGGATACTCACAGAATGCTAAAAATATAATAAGAAATATTATATTATATTATATTATATTATATTATATTATATTATATTATATTATATTATATTATATTATATCATATCATATCATATCATATTATTAGAATGCTATACTAAACTATACTAAAGAATTTTGTACTATTCATATATGATATAGTATATATAGCATACTATTATATAAAATATAATAAATATATTATATAAATAGTATACTATTCATACTATATACAGAAAGGTTACTTACAGAATGTTAAAAATATAATAAGAAATAATATAATATAATATAATATAGAATGCTACACTAAACTATACTAAAGAATAGTATATTATTAATATATTATATTATATATAGTATATATAGAGTACTATTATATATTATACATATATAATACATATTATTTATATATATAAAACATACATAGTATACTCTTGATACTATATCTGAACACCACCTTTTCCTGTTCCTGTCCCATGGACAAACCTCTCCCTTCTGCCCCATTTCAGATTTGAGCTCTACAAATATCCCTGCAAACCAACCCCAAAGAAACCTGAAGTTCTTTCACACTCACAGCATGGAAATATCCTTTATGCAGCCACTTTGGAGTGCAGGAAGCACAGTCAGGAGAGGAAATCATGGAGAAATTCCATGTTTTTCCCAGTAGCTGGTTTGATTTTCATCACAATGAGTTTCCTGTTGCTGTACCATGGAAAATCCTCTCTCTCCTGCCCCATTCCAGATTTGAGCTCCAGAAAACTCCCTAGAAACCAATCCCAAAGATACCTTGAACTCTTCCACCCTCACACCATGGAAATATCCTTTATCCAGCCATGTTGCAGTGCAGGAAGCACAGTCAGGAGAGGAAATCATGGAGGAATTCCATGTTTCTCCCAGTACCTGGTTTGATTTTCATCACCACAGGTTTCCTGGAGCTGTCCCTCATTTGCTGGATGTCCAGCAGGTCGGGGAACAGCACCTGCCTTATCCATGGAAAATCCTCTCCTTCCTGCCTATTTCAAACTTTAAGCTCCAGAAAACCCCCTGCAAACCAATCCCAAAGAAACCTGGAGTTGTTCCACACTCACAACAGGGAAATATCCTTTATCCCTTTATCCAGCCCCTTTGGAATGCAGGAAGCACAGTTAGGAGAGGAAATAATGGACAAATTCCCACATGGAGCTGACTTTTCCCAGTACCTGGCTTGATTTTCATCACCATGGGTTTCCAGCTGCTGTCCCATGGACAAACCTCTCCCTCCTGCCCCATTCCAGACTTAAACTCCTGCAAACCAACCCCAAAGAAACCTGGAGCTGTTCCACACTCAAAACATGGAAATATCCCTTATCCAGCTACTTTGTAGCGCAGGAATCCAAGTTAGGAGAGAAAACCATGGAGAAATGCCAGGTTTGTGGCCATACCTGGTTTGATTTTCATCACCACGGGTTTCCTGGAGCTGTCCCTCATCTGCTGGATGTCCAGCAGGTCCTTGGGGTTGCCGTTGTGCCGGGGCCAGCAGTACACGAAGACGCGGGAGCCGCTGCTGCCGCAGTCCACCACGATGCCGTAGCTCAGGTTGGGGTTCCCGGTGTCCGTGGCCTCCGTGTCCCTCACCCTGGCCAGGTACCTGGGGAAATGGGGATTACTGCAGGGAATTGCTGCAGGGAATTGCTGCAGGGAATTGCTGCAGGGAATTGCACTCCCCATGTGTCAGAACCCAGGACACTGCTCTGGCTGCCCTGGCTGATTCCTGTCACAGACATCTTTCATGAACAATCCTTTCTTGGGATTTTTCCCTGTGAGAAGCTGCAGTTTCAGCAACCAAAGGTAACAATGGTTATCTGCTGCTGTGGAATGCAACACAGACCTGTGATTGGTGTCCTGTGGGTGTTTGGATTTACTGGCCACTCATGTCTCACGCTCTGAGACACAGATCTTTGTTATTCATTCTTTTCTATTCTTAGCTTAGCCAGCTTCTGAAGAAACCTTTTCCTTTCTATTTCCTTTTAGTATAGTCTTAATGTAACTGTCCTAGGGTGACGTTATGATGCTTGTATCCCCATTCATGTGTTCTGTTAATGTTGGATATTATGTTCTGTACCTTTAAGACCGGCTCTGAAGAGGGAATGTTTTGTTTTGGTTTTCTTATCAGCCTGGCGGGACACAGAGACTGCAGCTTTTGCCTTTTCTGATTTTGTTTTTTGCTTTGCTCTCTCGCTCTTGCTTGCTTCGCTTCTGCTTGCTTTTGCTCATTAGCTAGTTTAGCTAAACTGTCCAATTTCTTCCTGGACTGTTTCTCCTTTCCTTTTCCTGACCATTTCAAACCTGCTCCAGACTGGGACCTGGGAAACACCAGAGTTTGCACCTTGTGGCCTGCAGCAGCAGCCCCAGCGCCGGAGGGACTGAGAACAGAGTGAGCACCCCCCAAGAGAGACTTTCTGAATTTGTCATCTCTTTTCAGAGCGGTGTCACCTGGTATTGCTCATTTTGTGTGCTGGGGGGTGCTGTGCTTGTTAAATAAACAGGTTCGTTCCACTCCTCTCTGAGGAATCCTTCCCAAACTGGTTGAGGGGAGAGGCTGTGTGGGTTTGCTTTCTGGAGGGGCCCTAATTTGGAAATTCCCCTCCAAATTTGCCCTAAACCACGACAGTAACATATATCATAAAATAATAAATCAAGCCTTCTGATCATGGAGTCAACGTTCTCATCTCTTCTTCATCCTGAAAACCCCTGTGACCACAGCCACAGATTCCAGACCCTGGCAGGGGCTCAGAGACCTTGGCACAGAGTCACAAACACCTGTGCCTCTGATTTTAGCCCATGGAAACAATTCCCAACTTTGTGTGAAGAGTTACAAGCCACAGGAGTTTGAGTAGAATGATAGTGAATTTGTCACAGGGTGAAAAAGTAGAATTTTGGGGATTTAGAATGGGGGTTCAAGAGGCAAGATGGAGGAAACTGGGTGTGTCCTGTCCTTCTCCTTCTTCTCCATCCTCTGCTGTGATGGTGCCACTTTTGGATTGGTTTAGGGTAGAGACAGACTGTCTAACACAGGTGATAGGTATTGGAAAATTAAAATAAATAAAGTACACACAGTTTTTAGTATAAAAAGCCCCCAGGGGACCACCCCAAGGGCAGGAACTGTGCCACAACCCGACCTGCTGGACAGATCTCAGCAGGTCAGAGGAAGAATGGAACAGATAAGAGAAAATAAACAACCCTGAGAATGAGAGCCAAGCCCCTGTGGAAGCTCCTGTCCCAGGTCCAGCTGGACTTGCTGTGGATCAGGAGCAGAGCAGCGTTTCCCCTTTCCTCAAAAGCTCCATTTCATTCTTTTCCATGACTCTTTCCCTTTTTTCCAGGGAATTCTTTCCCTCTTTTCCCATGGAATTCCCCCCCTCTCACCTCTGCAATCTCCCATCCTGGGCTTGGCCACACTTGCTGCAGATCAGGAGCCAGGACATTGTGACTGTTCCTCCTTTCCTTCCTCCTTCCCCTCTTTTCCCATGGAATTCTTTCCTCCATTCCCCCAGGCTTCACTTCCTGTTTTCCACTGAAATTTTTCCCTCTTTTCCAGGGAATTCTTTCCCTCTTTTCCCATGGAATTCCCCCCCTCTCACCTGTGGAATCTCCCATCCTGGGCTCGGCCACACTTGCTGCAGATCAGGAGCCAGGACACCTGTGACTGTTCCCCCTTTCCTCCAGGCTCCACTCCCTCTTTTCCCATGGAATTCCCTCCCCTCACCTGTGGAATCTCCCATCCCACCCTCAGCTGTACTTGCTGGAATCAGGACCAGGGAGCAGAGCAGCATTTCCCCTTTCCCCCAAAGCTCCATTTCCCTGTTTTCATGGATTCCCTCCCCTCTCACCTCTGGAATCTCCCATTCCAGGCTCAGTACTTCCAGCAGATCAGGAGCAGAGAGACCTGTTAGTGTTTAGTGTTTCCCCCTTCCCCCAGGCTCCATTCCCTGTTTCCCATGGAATTCCCTCCCCTCTCACCTCTGGAATTTCCCTTCCCGTGCACGGTGCTTGCCACAGATCAGGAGCCAGGACACCTGAGACTGTTCCCCCTTTCCCCAAGGCTCCATTCCCTGTTTCCCATGGAATTCCCTCCCCTCACCTGTGGAATCTCCCACCCCAAGCTTGGTACTTCCTGTGGATCAGGAGCAGAGAAGCCTTTCCCCATTCCCTGTTTCCCATGGAATTCTGTGCCCTCTCACCTCTGGAATTTCCCGTGTCCTGGGCGCGGTGCTGGCCACGGATCAGGAGCAGGGAGCAGAGCAGCATTTCCCCTTTTCCTGTTTGCCATGGAAACATTCCCTGCTTCCCATGGAATTCTCTCCCTCTCACCTCTGGAATCTCCTGGTGCCTGCCGCGGATCAGGAGCAGAGCAGCATTTCCCCTTTCCCCCAGCTCCATTCCCTCCATTCCCATGGAATTCTCTCCCCCTCACCTGTGGAATTTCCTGTCCCAGGTGCGGATCAGGAGCAGAGCAGCATTTCCCCTTTCCCCCAGCTCCATTCCCTCCATTCCCATGGATTCCCTCCTCTCTCACCTGTGGAATTTCCTGTCCCAGGTGCGGATCAGGAGCAGAGCAGCATTTCCCCTTTCCCCCAGGCTCCATTCCCTCCATTCCCATGGAATTCTCCGCCCCTCACCTCTGGAATTTCCCATCACGGTGCCTGCCCCGGACCAGCAGCAGGGAGCAGAGCAGCATTTCCCCATTCCCATGGATTCCCTCCACTCTCACCTCTGGAATTTCCCGTCCCAGGTGCGGATCAGGAGCAGAGCAGCATTCCCCCTTTCCCCCAGGCTCTATCCCCTCCATTCCCATGGAATTCTCTCCCCCTCACCTGTGGAATTTCCTGTCTCAGGTGCGGATCAAGAGCAGAGCAGCATTTCCCCATTCCCATGGAATTCTCCCCCCCTCACCTCTGGAATTTCCCATCGAGGTGCCTGCCCCGGACCAGCAGCAGGGAGCAGAGCAGCATTTCCCCATTCCCATGGAATTCTCCGCCCCTCACCTCTGGAATTTCCCGTCGCGGTGCCTGCCCCGGACCAGCAGCAGGGAGCAGAGCAGCAGCGCCGCCGCGGCCGCGGCCGCCCCCAGCAGCAGCAGCTGCCGCAGGGACGCGTTCAGGATGCGGGGACACCCCACGGGGGAGAGGCTGAAGTGCCACGAGGCCGGGAGCAGGCAGGAGATGCTGATCCTGCGATGCCAAGGGAGAAACGAGCGGATTGAGGGATGGATTTGGTGCTAAACGCACCTGGAAAATTCCTGCCTGGAGGGTGTGGATGGGCTGGGATGGAATTCCCACTCCTGCCCCGTCCCTGGGAGTGGCCTGGGCTGAGGAGGATGGAAAGATCCCATGGGATTTGCTGGGTTTGGGGCTGCAGCTCCTTTTTATCTCCTGGCTTTCTTTCAAAGTCTCAGGAAAATTAGAGCCAGGAAGGAGGGAAAAGCCTGGCTTGGGATTCAGGGAATGGAAATCTGGGGATGATCCTGGAGAAATCTGGGAGGACCTCAGGGCAGTTCCCCAGGGCCTGAAGGGGCTCCAGGGAGAGGGACTTGAGACAAAGGATGGAGGGATGGGACACAGGGAATGGCTCCCACTGCCAGAGGGCAGGGATGGATGGGATATTGGGAAGGAATTCCTGGCTGGGAGGGTGGGGAGGGGCTGGGATGGAATTCCCAGAGCAGCTGGGGCTGCCCCTGGATCCCTGGCAGTGCCCAAGGCCAGGCTGGAGCCCCCTGGGACATGGGAGGTGTCCCTGCCATGGCAGGGGTGGGATGATCCTGAAGGCCCCTTCCAACCCAACCCAACCCAACCCAACCCACTGCAGGGTTTTGCTGTGGATTGAGAGGACTCAGGACACCATTCCCATGCTGGAATTCCTGATTAGGTTCCCTGTCCTTCCCTCCAAAGCCTTTCCAGTTTATCCCACAGTTCCTCTGGGATCCTTACCTGCCCATTTTGGGATGGGGCAGCAGCAGGAGCTGTGGAGCCTCAGCCGGTGACCTCGGAGGGACCAGGAACATCCGAGCTCCCCTGGGCCATCCCTGCTCTGCTCCTGAGGGAAAACCAAGGCAGCTGATTCCCTGCAGAGCCCTGGGACACCCCTGAGGGAGCTGATTCCCTGCTCAGCCCCAGAGATCCCTGAGGGAGCTGATTCCCTGCAGAGCCTGGGGACATCCCTGAGGGAGCTGATTCCTTGTTCAGCACAGGGACATCCCTGAGGGAGCTGATTCCCTGCAGAGCCTGGGGACATCCCTGAGGGAGCTGATTCCCTGCAGAGCCCTGGGACACCCCTGAGGGAGCTGATTCCCTGCACAGCCCTGGGACACCTCTGAGGGAGCTGATTCCCTGAGGGAGCTGATTCCTTGTTCAGCACAGGGAGATCCTTGGGGAAACACCCTGGGATGGGATCCTTCCCTTCCCTTCCCTTTCCCAGGTAAGGAATGCAGGAATCCAAAGGAAAACAGGGATCCAGAGGGGATGGAAGCACTGAATCCCCTCGGGCACGGTGGGGAGGGTCTGGGGTGGGATTCCCAGAAGAATTCCCAGAGGAATCCCTGGATCCTGGCAGTGCCCCAGGCCGGGCAGGCAGGGCTGGAGCAGCCCGGGACAGCGGGAGGTGCCGGGCTTGGGGCTGGATGGGATTTCAGGTCCTATTTCAGGTCCTTCCCACCCAAAGCATCCCGGGATCCCGGGACCCCTGCCAGGATCAAACACCAGCAAAACTCCAAAAGAGCCAAGGAAATGAGGGAATTCCAGCCCAGGGACGCAGCCGGGGCTGTCCCTCCTTCCCCGGCCCGAGGGGAGATCCCGACCCAGGCGCCACCAGGGAGCGGAGCCGGGGCCGGGCGGCCGGAGGGGACAGCGAACAGCGGGATGGGGAATAACGGGATGGAGAATAACGGGGTGAGGGAACGGGATGAGGGAACAACGGGACGGAGGAACAACGGGATGAGGGAAAGGGATGAGGGAAACGGGATGGAGGCAAGGACGAGGACGGGACGGGGAAGGGACTCGGAGCGGAAGGAGCTGGTGCAGCTCCCCTCGGCCGCCACCATCCCGCAGGGCTCGGCTCGGCTCCCCCCGAACCCCGCGGCGATCCCGATCCTATTCCCATTCCCGGTCCCGATCCCGGTCCCATTCCCGTTACTGGTCCCATTCTCATTCTCATTCCCATTCCCGGTCGTGTTCCCGGTCCCATTCCCGTCCCGGTCCCGGTCCTGTTCCCGATCCCATTCCCGTTCCCGATCCCATTCCCGTTCCCGATCCCATTCCCATTCCCGTTCCCGATCCCGTTCCCATTTCCGATCCCGTTCCCATTCCCGGTCCCGTTCCCATTCCCGGTCCCGTTCCCATTCCCGATCCCGTTCCCATTCCCGGTCCCGGTCCCGTTCCCATTCCCGGTCCCGTTCCCATTCCCGGTCCCGTTCCCATTCCCGGTCCCATTCCCAGTGTTTCGTCCCCTCTCTCTCTCCCCCGCAACTTCACCTCCCGGGCCGCCCCATGGCAACCGGCCCCACGCCACTTCCGGGTGCGCCGCCGGACGTGACGTAGAGCGCGCTGACGTCACGGCGGGGACGAGAAGGGATTCCCCGGGGGCGTGGCTTTGGGGGCGTGGCCATTGAGGAGGGGGCGTGACCAGGAGGAGCCGGGTGCGCTCCGGTAAAACCGGCCAAAAATCGCTATAAAAACACCGTTAACGGCAAAAATAGGAATTTGTGGCTACAAATATGCCAAAATTGAGAAATATATAAAGTTCGTAGCTATAACTGTGTCAATATTTTGAAATATATAAAATGTATAGCTAAAAATGTGTCAATATTTTGAAATATATTAAATTCATAGCTGTAACTGTGTCAATATTTTGAAATATATAAAATTCGTAGCTATAACTGGGTCAATATTTTGAAATATATAAAATCTATAGGCAAAATGTGTTATATTTTGAAATATATAAAATTTATCCTTATAAATGTGTCATTATTTTGAAATATGTTAAATTTATAGCGTTAAAAGTGGCAATGTTTTGAAATAAACTTATATGTGTGTCAATATTTTGGAATAAATGAATTTATAATTTAATTTATTAAATTAATTAATTTATTAAATTTATTTATTACATTTATTTAATAAATTAATTTATTAATTAAATTAATTTAATTTTTAATTTAAAATTTATAATAAATAAAAATTAATATTTGCTATCACTATGCAAATATTTTGAATTATATTATTATATATATCCAATGGTTGTAGCAGCTGTAATAAATATCTCAATATTTACGATCGAAAGAATAAATACATTAATTTTATTTAAAAAAAAATAACAAGAAAGGGGAGGAAATTCCACGGGGAGAAGGGGAATTCTCCTGCGTTTTGCCACTGAGCGGCAGCACCGCCTGTGCCCACTCCAGGAGAAATGGAAAAGTTTCTCCTGGCCAGGATGAGGTGGAAAAAACGGGAATAAAGTCAGGGATTTGCAGGGGAAGCGGGGCTGGGGGTGGAATCCATCCCGGGAGGGGCTGGAGAGGAGGGGGTTTGGGGTGGGAAATTATCCCGGGGGAGGGAAGGGAATGAGGGAGGGGAAAAAGGAATAAGGAAAGGGGGAGTGAAAAGGGAATGGAATAAGAGAAAGGGAAAGGAAAAAGGGAAGGAATAAGGAAAGGAGAAAGGAGAAAAGGAAGGAATAAGGGAAAGGAAAAAGAAGGAATAAGGAAAGGGGAATGGAATAAGGAAAAGAAAAGGGAAGGGGAAAGGAAAAAGAGAAGAAAAAAAAGAGGAATGGAATAAGGAAAGGAACAAGGAAATGGAAAGGAAAGGTGAAGAGAGAAAGGGAGGGAAAGGAATAAAGAAAGGAAAAAGAAAAGGAGTAAGGAAAGGCGAAAGGAATAAGGAAAAGGGAAGGGGGAAGGAAAAAGAAAGGGGAACAGAATAAGGAAAGGAAAAAGGAAAGGGGAAAAGAAAGGTGAAGAGAGAAAGGGGAAAGGAATAACGAAAGGAAAAAGAAAAGGAATAAGGAAAGGGGAAAGGAAAAAGTGAATGAGAAAAGAGAAATGGAAGGAATAAGGAAAAGAAAAAAGGAAGGGGAAAGGAATAAGGAAAGGAGAAATGAAAGTTGAAAAGAGAAGGGAAAGGGGAAAGGAATAAGGAAAAGGGGAGGGAAAAGGAAAAAGGGAAAGGAATAAGGAAAGGAAAAGGGAAGGGGAAAAGAAAAAGGAAAAGGGAAAGGAATAAGGAAAGGAAAAGGGAAGGGGAAAAGAAAAAGGAAAAGGGAAAGGAATAAGGAAAGGAGAAATGAAAGGAATGAGGAAAAGAGAAGGAATAAGGGAAGGGAAAGGGAAGGGAAAAGGAAAAAGGAAAAGGGAAAGGAATAAGGAGAGGAGAAATGCAAGGAATAAGGAAAAGAGGAGGACTAGGGCAGGGAAAGGGAAGGAATGGCTGGAGCGCGGTGAGGGTTCCTCAGCCCGGCCTGGCAGGGGGAGTTTGCCGAGGGCCCAGCCCCGCTCGGGGCCGGGAGGGGCAGCCCGGGCCCACCCGGGCCGGGAACGCCGGGGGGAGGGAGCAGCGTTTGGGGTTTCTGCGAGGGGAATCAGCCCTGGGACACGGCCCGGGCACCGCTGTGCCCTCGAGGGCCCCGTGTCCCGGCCGGGGCCGCTGCACCCTGCGGGGAGCAGGGACGGGAGCGGCCGGGGTGGGCGGAACAGGGGAAGGGTCCCCTGTTAACAACAGGTCAGAAACTGCTGTAAAATAGCTGACGGATTGTCGCCCTGATTTTTTAAGATTTACTAAGCCTTCTGATGTTTATATTCTTGTAACAAACTTTCTCACACGCTTTCTGTAAATAACTCATTGTTTTGCATTCTTTTCTGGAGGAGGAGGAGAAATGTGATGGGCTGTTGGTTTGTGCAGTGTCATTGGAGAGGTGGCACTGTCACCCTCCAATCCACTGTCACTTCTGGAAAACTATAAATGTTGGAGTCAGATAATAATAAATAAAAATAAAACTTCCCATTTTTCTTCACCTGGAGAGCAGCTGTGTGTGCTTGTGTTCTTTTGTGTCTTATGGCGACATCAGCTCGTTAAGCACGTGCTGTTAGTTTGGTTATTCTATTGTAAAAGGGGTTAAAAGGGGACTTGTAAGGAATATGGTGCTCAAGGTACCATGACACACCTCAGGGTGGTCACCAATTGTGGTGTTGTGGGTCCCAGGTGAGGTGAGAGATGAGAAATGACTCCAAGTTCTCAGAAGGCTGATTGATTATATGATGATATTATATTATATTTTATTATATTGTATTATATTATATTATATTATATTATATTATATTATATTATATTATATTATATTATATTATATTATATTATCATGATATACTAAAACTATACTAAAGAAAGAGAAAGGAGATATCAGAAGGCTTGACAAGAATGTTAATAAAAACTTGTGACTGACCAGAGAGTCCAACACAGCTGGGCTGGGATTAGTCATTAATTAAAAACAATTCACATGGAGCCAATCAAAGATGCACCAGTTGGTAAACGATCTTCAGACCACATTCCAAGCAATCAGATAATTATTGCTTACATTTCATTTCTGAGGCTTCTCAGCTTCTCAAGAGAAAAATCCTGGCAAAGGGATTTTTCATAAAATATCACAGTGACACCTCAGTAAAGTGCAGCACCCCCAAGGGAAACGAGCCAGCTTGGACAGAGCGGTCATGGCCAATCAAAGCCTAAAACCTTCATGCAAATGAAGGATCCAAACAGAAACCAATCCAGAGGGACAAAAAACAGGATAAAATGGGGCTCCTGACCCACTGAATTTGTGCTGCTCCATCTGGGACATTGGGGCCATCGCTGCTGAGAGCGCCGGCGCTGCAGCGTCCTCGAGGGAACGCTCCTGTCCCATTCCCATCCCCATTCCCCTTCTTATTCCCAACCCCATTCCCATCCCCATTACCATTCCCCTTCTTATTCCCATCCCCATTTCAACCCCATTTCCATTTCCCTTCTTATTCCCACCCCCATTCCCATCCCCATTCCCATTCCCCTTCTCATTCCCATGCCCATTCTTATCCCCATCCCCATCCCCACTCCCACAGGCCCCCTTGCTTTAGGCCTTT